GTGAGCTTTTTTTGACCACTTTTTTAAAAATCCAGCTCTCGGCCTATACAAGCCTATATAAATGTTCAATACCATTGTACAAAACTATTACTATTTCAAATCCATATCCATTCACATGTATATTCTCAAAATCATCAACTTGACAGTGCGAGGTTTGTACGCGAACTCGGGCGCGCTCCCGGCTCATGGCGCGCTCCCTTGGACATCCTTAGTGGAAATCCACGAGTTCTGGCTACTTGGAAACCCAAGCCATTTGACATACAATAAATCACCCTTTCTCTTAATTACATTTTCTACTAAATACATGTCGTTATACTTGGTCTTTAACAACTCCTCTGTATAGAATCCTCCTCTGATTATAATACCATTTTCATCTTTCAAGATATAAGTCACAGGCTTTGTATTCTTAACTTCTGCTATTGTAAATAGCTCCCCTGTCCAATTCGGGGTATATCCTTTACTAAAAACATGTTTATACTTTGAAATTCTCTCGCTATCACCTACCTTATATATTGGCTTTTTAACTTGTACTACTTTAGAAGTCAACCTCTCATGCACATATTTACTATTCTTAATATTCACTTGGTTAGGCTTCATACCTTTAGATCTATGCACCTTATTATTATATTTTCGAATTAACTTTGGAAGTAAATCCAACCATTTATAACTCCCCTGAGCACTAAATTCCCTATATAACCAATTCTCTAAAGTTCTCTGAAACCTCTCTACAATTAATTGCAGCCTTAGTTGTAAAAATGTGTGATAGTGATTAATATTTAACTTTTTCATTAGTTTGCCAAAATATTGATTAAAAAATTCTTTTCCATTGTCAGATTGAATGTTTTTAACCCCCTTTGGTAGAATGGTTTTAATGGCTTCTGTAACTACCAACCCTGTTTTATTATTTAGCATAGCAGCATAAGCTTTTTTAGAAAATGTATCTATTAAAGTTAAAATATATCCATTGCCAGATTTTTCACCACTTTGCTATATCTTAAATAGTTTTCGAGATACAAGTATTTTAAAATAATATTATGGACTTAAAAATGTAAAATGTGCAAAAATGTCAAAAAAGTCTGGACTTTGAAAATTTTCATGATAACTGTTATTTGTACCCATATAAAATAATGTTAAAATTGTTTTTGAATTTTTGATTTTTTTATGTTGTAATATTGTTTGTAATCAAAAGTTGACACCCACTACGTGTGCCAGAATTTCAACCGTTTTGCCGTATCTAAAGCCGTTTTCGAGATATAAGCATTTTAAAACAATATTATGGGCTTAAACAATTTTAGGTGAGTAAACATGTCAAAAACTATGAATAAGAAAGTTCTATCTTTTGATGATGACGAGAGGCTTATTCTGGAAGATGACATTAATACTCTTGCTCTTAGTAATTATAAAATTGATCAAACATAAATCTATAATTGCAATTATTATTTAGCCTTTCAGTAGTGGTAATATTATGGTATGACCCCACTTTAGGCGTTTTTCCCCATAAGAATAACATGGGGATCATTTTTTGGCCACCAATTCCAAAAATCCTGATCTTTGCCCACATATCCCTATATAATTGTCAAACCTTATTTCTTACTTATTCCCCATAAATATATTCAATATCAAGCTAAAACAGCTATTTCTTATATTTATTGACCATTACAGGTGTAAATGTAAAGTAGTGGCGAACTAGCAAAGAGACCCCACCTTAAGCACGTTGTCTATTATGAAAAAGCCATATTTAGTTTTATCTAAACTTTAGAGGAAGAGATCGCTAAATTGGTTAAATTAAACGTCATTACCAACATGATTGTGATACACATGTTTTAAAACTTAAATCGTCTTGTTTGGATAATATTAGGAAATTTACATTATCACATAAATGTTTGTGTACTTTGCTGCAAGATTTACACAAGTAAAAACAGTCAATATTTTTATGTCGACCTTTTGACAAAAATGGTGTTTGGACTATTCATATCATCAAATACAACAACTAACTGTGACTGTGATGTGAATTTTTTTGTGTACTTGTGTACTTCATCACACACATTTCATACTAATTTCACAAATTACGATTTGACACAACTTATGTAAAATTTGTGTCAAATCGTGTAAAATTGTGTCAAATTGTGTGAAAATTGTGTCAAATATGTGTGAGAAAGTACACACGAATTTACATCACAGTCACAGTGACATTCACAATTCATGTGTAATTTGTGAAATTAGTATGAAATGTGTGTGATGAAGTACACAAGTACACAAAAAAATTCACATCACAGTCACAGTTAGTTGTTGTATTTGATGATATGAATAGTCCAAACACCATTTTTGTCAAAAGGTCGACATAAAAATATTGACTGTTTTTACTTGTGTAAATCTTGCAGCAAAGTACACAAACATTTATGTGATAATGTAAATTTCCTAATATTATCCAAACAAGACGATTTAAGTTTTAAAACATGTGTATCACAATCATGTTGGTAATGACGTTTAATTTAACCAATTTAGCGATCTCTTCCTCTAAAGTTTAGATAAAACTAAATATGGCTTTTTCATAATAGACAACGTGCTTAAGGTGGGGTCTCTTTGCTAGTTCGCCACTACTTTACATTTACACCTGTAATGGTCAATAAATATAAGAAATAGCTGTTTTAGCTTGATATTGAATATATTTATGGGGAATAAGTAAGAAATAAGGTTTGACAATTATATAGGGATATGTGGGCAAAGATCAGGATTTTTGGAATTGGTGGCCAAAAAATGATCCCCATGTTATTCTTATGGGGAAAAACGCCTAAAGTGGGGTCATACCATAATATTACCACTACTGAAAGGCTAAATAATAATTGCAATTATAGATTTATGTTTGATCAATTTTATAATTACTAAGAGCAAGAGTATTAATGTCATCTTCCAGAATAAGCCTCTCGTCATCATCAAAAGATAGAACTTTCTTATTCATAGTTTTTGACATGTTTACTCACCTAAAATTGTTTAAGCCCATAATATTGTTTTAAAATGCTTATATCTCGAAAACGGCTTTAGATACGGCAAAACGGTTGAAATTCTGGCACACGTAGTGGGTGTCAACTTTTGATTACAAACAATATTACAACATAAAAAAATCAAAAATTCAAAAACAATTTTAACATTATTTTATATGGGTACAAATAACAGTTATCATGAAAATTTTCAAAGTCCAGACTTTTTTGACATTTTTGCACATTTTACATTTTTAAGTCCATAATATTATTTTAAAATACTTGTATCTCGAAAACTATTTAAGATATAGCAAAGTGGTGAAAAATCTGGCAATGGATATATTTTAACTTTAATAGATACATTTTCTAAAAAAGCTTATGCTGCTATGCTAAATAATAAAACAGGGTTGGTAGTTACAGAAGCCATTAAAACCATTCTACCAAAGGGGGTTAAAAACATTCAATCTGACAATGGAAAAGAATTTTTTAATCAATATTTTGGCAAACTAATGAAAAAGTTAAATATTAATCACTATCACACATTTTTACAACTAAGGCTGCAATTAATTGTAGAGAGGTTTCAGAGAACTTTAGAGAATTGGTTATATAGGGAATTTAGTGCTCAGGGGAGTTATAAATGGTTGGATTTACTTCCAAAGTTAATTCGAAAATATAATAATAAGGTGCATAGATCTAAAGGTATGAAGCCTAACCAAGTGAATATTAAGAATAGTAAATATGTGCATGAGAGGTTGACTTCTAAAGTAGTACAAGTTAAAAAGCCAATATATAAGGTAGGTGATAGCGAGAGAATTTCAAAGTATAAACATGTTTTTAGTAAAGGATATACCCCGAATTGGACAGGGGAGCTATTTACAATAGCAGAAGTTAAGAATACAAAGCCTGTGACTTATATCTTGAAAGATGAAAATGGTATTATAATCAGAGGAGGATTCTATACAGAGGAGTTGTTAAAGACCAAGTATAACGACATGTATTTAGTAGAAAATGTAATTAAGAGAAAGGGTGATTTATTGTATGTCAAATGGCTTGGGTTTCCAAGTAGCCAGAACTCGTGGATTTCCACTAAGGATGTCCAAGGGAGCGCGCCATGAGCCGGGAGCGCGCCCGAGTTCGCGTACAAACCTCGCACTGTCAAGTTGATGATTTTGAGAATATACATGTGAATGGATATGGATTTGAAATAGTAATAGTGTTGTACAATGGTATTGAACATTTATATAGGCTTGTATAGGCCGAGAGCTGGATTTTTAAAAAAGTGGTCAAAAAAAGCTCACCATGTTGTTCTTATGGGGAAAACGTGCCTAAAGTGATGTTAAACCATCATATTGCCTCTACTCTACATTTACACTTGTAAGGGTCAATAAATATAAGAAATAGCTTTTTTAGCTTAATATCGAATATATTTATGGGGAATAAGTAAGAAATAAGGTTTGACAATTTTATAGGGATATTTAGGCAAAAGATCAGGATTTTTGGTTTTAGTGGCCAAAAAATGATCCCATGTTATTTCTTATGGGAAAACGTGCCCCAAGTGACTTTAAACCCGTATATTATATCTACTTACCTAACTAACCAAACGATATTGAGTTAAAATACTATACCTCGACCTCGCTATTAAAGATTCAGGTTGGAAATTTCACTATCAAAGGTGTTCTTGTCCTGTCCGTACGGAACACTGAGTATATAATATGTGCTACCAACTTATGAATAATTGTTTAGGCCTGCGATCCCAAGAGATAGGCAATTGGTCTATTGGCTGTATGGTCCATCGAGCAGCACATAGCGTTGAGAAGACTATAAGAGGTATAAAATTACCTGAGTACTGCCAAAGTGATCCTGTTGGTCCTTACGGATTACGCGTTTCGAGGAGCTTAAGTCCTCATCATCAGATATTGTACAAGAAACACATCTATCACTTCGAAAAGGTCGTCAAAAGTTTAAATACACAACACGGACACATAATAAATAAACATCTTTTACAATTATGAGTAGGCCTACCGACAAAAACTTTTGCTTGCAATGTCCGACCGCCCAGTTGTAGGTTGGTTAAAGTCATGCCCTTGATCGTTGGTCATGACTTTAACCTACAACGTAAACCTCTGTTACAATCACCCACTGCAGTTGTCACTTTACACTTTACACAACCACCATTGAAGTGCCGTCAATGAGTTTAAACCTTTTATGTAAGCTATTGGTAATGCTTATGTAAAAAATGTAAGTTACCCAGCCATATAAAACACTGATTCAAGGTCTCTTCCCTGGTTATCAAAACTCAAGAAAACTTTTATACACAAAGAATCTCTATTTTCATTTACGGTTACCCCACAAGTTATTGAACTTGCGATTAATTAAATCCGTTATGTAAGGAAAAACTGTTTTAATCCAACTTTGTTTGGATTTGCTTTTGAAACGTGATCGGAAATGATTGCGGTATTTGTAAATAACATTAAATGTAAACATATCAGTGACATCTAGAGAAAAATAATCTTGATCCGAACAGCTGTTCGCTATTTCATAGATGATTATGTGATAAAAATTGGGAGAAAACTTGACAAAAATCGCACAAAATTGGGTTTTTAAACGTCCGTAAGTTTATTTAAAAAGTAGTGAGGCCATACTTTAATAGCTGGACACTCTCGCCAATCCAGTGAAAACATTAAAAGATTCGGATCTTGATAGGTACTCTCGTTTTTCAGGAGAAGGCCGCGTAAATGGCTCTTGGTCCGTGACAGACGGAAGACAGGCAGACAGAAATTGAGATGAGACTTGTTTCGGCTTCTTTAATGTATAAAACGTAAAAATAACCTAAAAAATTATGATTCTGAGCAATGTACATACAAAACTATAGTTTTATTTATACAGATTGTTTTAAACATATGTCTTTGTATATTTTTTCAATTCTTTTCTTAACGCATTTGTATTTTATAATAAATAGGCCTATTTTCAGCATGAAATAATCGAAAATTATTCCAATGAATTCTATAACATGCCATATTACAGTACTGATACTCATTCGCTGAATCACCTTTTAAACACTTGAAAGTATAAAAACATTAATGCTGTACTTTTTAATGTTACTGTTACTGGTAACACTATCTAAATCTATCAAACACTCTCCAAACATGTGTTTTTAGAGACAACGAACACCTCAGGCCCCTTTCTCCTACTGATGAATGGGCATTGATAGCTATAGACCCTACACACACTAGCCGTAATCCTGTTAGACAAATTGCAAAGGGGCTGCCGACGGGACCAGTGGAAGTGCGGATTAAGGGACCTTACTTGAGACTGGGACCAGTAGAAGTGGGGTACCTGGCTTACGGGACCAGTTGAGTCTGCCCCATTTGTAAGTATAGTTTAGGTTGTCCTCATCGGTCCTCATCTAATGCTAAACAGTATTTTCATACACTGGTAACACTGCACTAGCGTTTTTAGTTGTAGATTCTTATAGTCAATGAAGGATTGTGAGACTTCATCCCATGAACATCAAGAATATGTGATACAAATTCTGTAAAAGAATTCCTTTGGACATTTCAATGAATGGGGACAACTGTTGAAAGAGGAAGGGCAAAAGAAAATTTGAGGTCATTTTAGGAAATTCAAATTAATGTTGTAGTAGGCTACTACAGTTGAAATACACAAATCCATACACCAAACCACCATAAATGATACCGTACGTACAGCCGGTTAATAATTTATTTATTTATTACTAGCTGTGTGCCCGTTCTACGCACGGGGATCTTATAGTAGTCAGTTGAAATCTTCTTATATTAAGATTAAGAACAGCAATTAGTTTGGCAAAACTATTATATATAAACCTTCGCAAATACAGTATCTGACAGTAAGCCAAAATAAATGCTTCGCAATTAAATGTCACCCGGATCGTGTTGGTCCATAAGTCCAATGATTAAACTAAAAAATGTTTTATAGATCCATGAAGCGTAGCCCTAAAGTAGGCCTATAATTGAAAAAAACTAGCAGACTTTCCACATCGGTTAACTTAAACGTATTTAAAGTACACCTCAACCTCACCATTTAACTTTTTATTCCGGTTGACATTTTCAGTATCAAAGGTGCTCTTGTCCATTCCGTGAAACACTGAGAAATAAGGACATTAATGCGTTACCAACATACAACAAAACAACACAATACAACAATCCAACAAAGGCCACGAACTATTGATACATAAACAATATAAAGGCGTAGACAATTCATGATGGTTTGCCCAACAAATGTTTTACTCAAATAGGTTATCATTTTCTTAGCATAGACCTACCGGGTAAGCTAAGATTTGGAATCCAGACAGAAAAAGCAAAACTATACAGAGTTAAGACATCACTTAAATTGAATACGGACGGCTCTAATAAATAAGGTGCAACACCAACGATATCAAATTTGTAAACTACCGGTTCTAAGGAAAAGAACCAGTACCTACGTAAGAACCTACCTAAGAACTATAGTAAATTGGACCAATTAAATACATTAATATCTAGTCCCGAGGTTATTGATCTCTTGCTTTTGGATTTTCTCGTAAAAAGTTATAGCGTAAACTTATCGGTGTCAGTTTTAAAAAAAGCAACCTTACCCAAACAACTTTTTGTTATTTAATAGATTACGCATTCTCTAAACAATGATTAGTATATCTATTAACATTAGAAGGAAATGTGACGAAAATCACACAATGTTGGGGTTTTGGTCATTTGTAATTTTATTTTTTAAGTAGGTAGGCCATGTATTCTATGGAAAAGTACCGGTATCAAGGATCGTCGTCAAAAAGGTTGTTATGAATAAATATGTAGGCTTACGTACCCAAGATATGAGCTATGGGCCTATTGGCTGTATGGTCCAGCGATTGCATCACACGGTGAGTAGAAACAGAAAGTGACACATTGGAAAAGCGAGTTTAGCACTTCCTCTGTTAAACCTCAGTTACAATCACCCACTGCAGTTGTGATTTTTTACTTTAAACTTTACACAACCGCCATTGAAGCGCCGTCAATGAGTGGAAACCTTTTTTGTAAGCTATTGGCGACGATCATTTCAGTGTCACAGCCCTATACAACACTGATTCAAGGTCTTCTTCTTTCTGGTTGTCAAAACTCAAGAAACATTTTATACTCAACGAATTTCTGGTTCCGATTTGGACGATGTCTAGTTATTTAATTTCATTTACGGTTACACTATTAGACTATATTATTGCACTTGCGATTAATTAAATCCGTTATGTAAGAAAAACGTTTTTAATCTCACTTGGTTGGGATTTGCTTTCAAGACGTGATTTGAAATAGTTGCGGTATTTGTAAACAACATTTGTAAACATGTCATTGACAGCTAGAAAAAATAATCTTGATCCGAACAGCTGTTCGTTATTTCATAGACGATTATGTGATAAAAATTGAACGGAAATTTGACAAAAATCGCACAAAACTGCATTTTTGAACGTCCGTAATTTTATTTACAAAGTAGTGAGGCTATATTTAAATCACTAAAGACACTCTCGCCAATCCAGTGAATACATTAAAATGACTTGGATCTTGATATGTACTCTGGTTTTCACGGAGAAGATTGCGTAAAATGCCATCTTGAGTGTTACAGACAAAGGGACAGACAGACAGACAGACAGACAGACAGACAGACAGACAGAAATTGAGATAAGACTCGTTTCTGCTTCTTTAATGTATAAAACGTAAAAATAACCTAAACGTATATAATTCTGAGCAATGTACAGACAAAACTCTAATTTTATTAATATAGATTTTAAAAACATATAGGTGAGTACTCTTTTTCTGTAGGTACATAAAGATTGGAACGATATGTATGAAAGGGTTATTAGTAGGGCGGAGTGTGATGTCATCATAGATACATATAATAACAACACTTTAATAGTAACCAACACAAGTAGACCTCTCGTCCCATTGCAAACTTTGAAGCTCGTTTTTCCTGTCTAGTTCATGTCCGCTGGCACGGATTGCTAGTGTCGACGAAATTTTGTTTCTATTAGTTTAGGGTTAATTTCATGATATATACTTTACCATTTGCTTTTATAAGTAGGACAAGTCAGTACATTGTTTATGATTAGATCGTTTTATCTGGTAAAACAAGGTTTTTTTAAATAAAAAAAAAATAAAAAAAACTAATTGTAAACACATCTGCACTGCAGTGCGCCCATTGAAGTATCCATAAATACAACTAAATACCGTACTATTGTTGTATTTAGGCCTATTTATTTATTTATCCATACGGTAAACACAATTTTTTATACATCTCCTATCTGGGGATTAGCTGTATCAAAAAACAAACTCTTCAAAATTCAAGTGATTCAAAACAAAATCCTAGTGAATGCTCCCTGGTTTGTTAGAAACAGGCATAGGCCTACACATGAAGAGCTAGGAGTGGAGTCCATCTCAGCCTTTATTGAAAAAACCACTTCAAAATTTCTGAAATCTTTTAACTATGTTCCTGGTGCATTAACTTTTCATCTTGGCGAAGCAACTGAGTACAGGAGGCTACGTCGAAGGCTCCCTCAAGATCTATTGGATGAATGAAGCCTAAAGAAGTTTAATATATTTCTCTAAATTAATTATGTTACAAGGTGTCTCAGGTCTGGGCGAACCCACGATGTTATTATTGTTAATTTCTTGTTTATTTTGTTAACACTTCTATGAATAATGTCATCATTGAACCAGAAATAAATGCTGTAAAAAATAAAAATAACATCCAATAAATACATGAGTGGAAAGTTACAAGATAAATATTTGGATAGAACAAACCGACAAAAAACACTTTTCAGCTGTTCGAGAACAAACATAACTAAATCAGATTCAGATTCATCTTAGCCTATTCAATCCGGAGTACCCCAAGGCAGTGTTTTTGTACCTGTTTTATATTTACTATATACCTCCGACATCCCCGTGGGCCAAAATATTACGGTTGCTACGTTTGCGAATGATATTGCATTTCTCTCCATTCACGAAAATCCTCAAGATGCTTCAAATCAATTGCAAGTTACATTAAATGATTTCGAACTGTGGCTAAAAAAATGGAGAACTAAAGTTAATGATCAAAATCTTTACATATTACCTTCACGCCGAGACAAGAAAACTGCCCTCCAGTTACTTTGAATAACATAGCGTTGACAGAAGTGGACAGCGTTAAGTATTTAGGATTCCACATGGATAAAAGGTTAACCTGGAAAACACATATTTGGTGTAAAAGACAACAAATGGACTTGAAGGTTCGTAAACTCAACTGGCTTCTAGGCAAAAAATCAAAGCTTTCGTTGACCAATAAACTAACACTTTACAAAGTTATGATCAAACCTATTTGGACGTACGGGATACAGCTTTGGGGAACGGCAAGTAAATCCAACTTAGCAATTATTCAAAGATTTCAGTCAAAGGCGCTAAGAAGAATAGTTGATGCCCCGTGGTTTGTTTCGAATCGAACAATCCATGAAGATTTCAGAATACCTACAGTAATTGAAGAAATAACAAGAATTAGTAAGAACTATCAAGAAAAACTCGAAACCCACCTGAATAATATAGCCGTTAATTTGTTGGACAAACCGCAACTCATGTCTACGCACAGGCCCCTGCCTATGTAGACCTTTTCCTTATAATTTGATAAGGTATTTTTTTCTCTCTTTGTGCCATTTAGTTATAGTATACTTTTGTAATTGTTTTTAAGTTAAGGATTGTATAATAATTATGTAAATACCACACATTGTATTAAGCAGTTGGGAAATAAAATATTATTTCATTTCATTTCATTTCATTAGTGATTTTCCCAACAGACTGAAAATTGTGAAAGTTCTTGAACTCCCATACCGATTTGTATGGTTTTAGTTATGACATGACTATTTAATTTTGCAAGATCTTTCATTGGGGAGATTCTTGGTCAAGACACTTATTTATATTATCCCTTTTACTAATTGTTCACAGTACTGAACAGATTGAAAAATAAAATGAAGTTAAAAAAACGATTCACCTTGCTAGACAATAAAAAAGATTGCTTACCTTACCTTACCTCCTTGGCCACTCAAACCTAAGAAGGTTTTTGGCCTCGCCAACAAGTTGTCTCCACTGCTGCCGATCTGCCGCCATGTCAAGAGATGCCCCCACTCTGTGTAGGTCTTTCTGGACTTGGTCTCTCCATCTCAACTTCGGTCTTCCTAGCGGGCGAGTGCCTCGTGGTTGTCCATTGGCGATCTTCTTAAGCATACTTTCTTCTTCCCTTCTTTCTACATGGCCTGCCCATCTCAGTCGTCTACTCTTCACTATGGCTACAATGTCCGGTTCTTTGTACAGTTCTCGGAGCTCTCGGTTTTTTATTATTCGCCACATACCTTCTTCATTTATAGGTCCGAAAATCTTCCTCAAAATTTTTTTCTCAAAAATGATAAGTTTGTTTTCATGATTTTTAGTTAATGTCCAGGTTTCCGAACCATATAAAAGGACTGGTTGAATCAAAGTTGAAAAAGATTGCTAAACATGAAAAATTACATCCATACAGGAATGTACCAAAAATGCATTGAGAAAGATTAGTGAGGATTAGATCATACCATTGACTATTGGATACTACGTATTTCAAGTACCTAGATAACATGCACACAAATTTTGAGAAAAACATAACGATTACCAAAACTAGATAACAATTGATAAATAATAAAATATAATAACAATAAAAAACAAAAATATATTAATACACAAGACAAGACGAGACTTAAAAAAAACAATGACAGTAAATATGATAACGGTGACCTAAAATATGAGTGAAAATTTTAACAGTGCAATAATTATTTATTTTCTTCTATGAGTGCACCGGACAACAAAAATGGCTTCAGGTACCATAAGGATGAGAAATCTACTAAGAGCTACTAAGTATGTTTGTTTTATCTATGGTGATGTCTTGTGCAGTTTCGTTACCAACTACAACCAGTGCTGATGTTATTTTTTAGCTCAAATGTTGTTAGGAGACAGCTATTGGTCGAGATTCGAATCATCCTAGACAGCATTAGACTGCTTTTGCTCAGGATCAACCCGACCGCATTGTAACATTACATTTGTACGGTCAATTCTCTAGACAACCGAGTTAGAACTTATATGTGTTTTAGTGTTTTTCATTTTGCATAGCAAAACCTTACTTTAAAATGTCAAAAAGCTACTGGCTGTACAATGGATTGGACCGGTTAGCTTACCCACTCAGCTATCCATCAGTTGTTCCTGAAAAGATGTACGCTATGCATAGATAAAAACACGTCATGATATCTATTTATTTATATTCAAACACATGTAGCCATAGATTAAATTCGTTGCAATGCTAAAACACGGGTAATTAGGGAATGTTTATACATGCTATTAATTTGTTTATTGCTATTTTTAAACAACCCAACATCGAGATGATGGCGGGCTCAAATATATATTGCCTATATGTAACACAAATGAAAATGAAAGCAGGCTTCAGATGTTACAATATAGGGCGAGAAATTACAAACTCCACATGTCCTAGTAGCAAGGTTAGTTTATTTGCACTATTCAAAGCTGATGATAGCAGCAGGTATAGGATAGTCACGCGCATCGCCGCATCATGGTCATGGCAACGAAGATATTGTTGGTACTGTTGTGTAGCCAGACTACTTTTTTGGAATGCTCAACAATGCATTAAATTTTCCTAATTCAAATGCTACTAGCGTACTAGGTACTGTACTTGTTTGTTTCTATTAGTTGTTTGTTCTATTTCTGTAGAATTCATCGGCTCGTATAACTACTAAAATAAATCCTTATTTTTACTTATCATTGAAGTTCAGTGAGTTTAAATACTGATAGAAGTAAATTTACAAGTTTAGTAAGACATATTACGATAAAATGTAAACGAATATTCGTCAAATATTTTTCCTTAAAAATTACATGACTATATCAATTACTTTACATTTTTACAAAGCGGTGATTTTATTTTTAAAAGTGGGAAATTTGCGGCTGTCATGTTTTTTTAAAGCTGTCTGCTCCGAAAAAAGTAAACAAAAGAATCAAAGAATCGTTCTCACTTTGTGTCTAATTTTTTCAGACTAAAATGTAAAAATCTCTCGATGTATTTATAATTTTTACTCTCTAATTGTAATATTAGCGTATATATATAATCGTTTCGATGGCAGATTCTGTTTGTTCTGATAGAGGTAACGTTTATCTGTGATTTTTTCTGTGTGTATAGTGATAATTAGAGCAAGCCACCTTGTATTGACCCGGCAATTAACGATGCTAATTAGCATCCCTGGCCATTTTGTTTTATTTAAGCTACCTATAACGCCTAAAAAGATAAAAATTGATTCAATTATATTTCGATTCTCTAAATATAAAATTCCAGGTGGAACAATTTATAGGTTATGATTATGTTTTCTTACTACAAATATTTTGATGAATTCTAATTAGCCTACATAAGTTATCACTTAGGGTTTAAGGGTTCAATTTTATACAAGTTATTGTTAGTGGAGACCTATGGCATAGTACTGAAGATAACTAACTTATGTCATTGATAAAAAAAATATAATAAACCTAGTTATTTTTAAAGTATTTACAAAGTAGGCCTATCAGGTCCAATTGGTAATTAGCTAGTCTGTTCAAATAAGGCTAGGTAGGTAAAAGGTAAACTACCTAACTTATCTTAGCTTTTTTCAACTCTTGAAGAAACATTTTAGTGAATTATAAGAATCGGCCTAGCAGCCTATAGGCTAGCAATATTTATTTATTTCAAACACAAGAAATAGCCAACATGACCACTGTAAAACCTAGATCTTAATCCCTATTACCCGCCCTTATTTGGTAACTTAAAGCCGGGTTTACACTATGTAGCAAAACCTGCTAAGCAGATTTGTGTAACGTCTAGCAATGTTATAGGCTATAACATTTGCTAGAAGTAGAAAAAGTTACTTTTCAAAAGTGCTATAAGTTAACACCGCATAGGGCCTATGTAGCAGATCCTGCTGTATATATCAAAAAATTGTGCTATCCATCGGGAGTCGGTAAAGATCAAAAGAAAAAGGTGCTAACTTACATCTAACATTGCTTTATGTAGCAATGTTAAACAAATATTTTTCGTCTAGCATCTGCTTTACCATGTAGGCTACAGTAGCATATTTAGTGTCATCAGTTCACAGTTGTAGCCTCCTGGGTGTGGACGGTTTTGCTCAGCGATCTTTGTTTACAATGGAAGTAATGAAAAGTGTCAGTGCGTGGGATCGGGATTCTATTATAAACTTTAATTGAACTGTTCCGTGGAAAACCTGCGTTTTTGTCAAATGTAAAACGTTTTTGAAGCTACCATTGCCTTATTTTGCGTTTTAATTATGGATCGTCAGCGTGATCATCATCATTAAGGTCCCGTAATACATATGCTAAACTGTACTTATTTCTTGAAGCAAGAAGGGGTCAAACCTAAAACCTTCGCTTCCGCCTCTGACTTCCTAAAAATCCTAAGATCACCGTGATAGCTACTGCGAGCAGTAGGTCTCTTCGGCACGACATTTCAATACGCAATACGAATGAGGTTGTGCTACATATAGCATATAGCACGAGCACCGGAATCACTAAAATTGTCTGTAGGTAACTTTTTTGTACCCTATAGCAAAAGTTATAAGATAGCAATGTTATAAGTTATAGCAAAAGTTATATAAGAATGTTATAGGTAGCAAAAGTTATATAGCAGGTTTTCCGACATAGTTAGGCTTACTCAGGCCTAGCTTATCAAAATTGGAGCAATTCTCTTCGCTGCAAGTTTTTTTTTTATTTGTAAGAATTTTTTTATTTTAAATTGTGTAGGTTAGGCCTATCTGCAATTTTAAGGCCTTTGAGTTAGTTGGGTGTCTCCATTTGTCTGTAGTGTAGTATGAAGTGGGGCTTAGGTTTATTTAATACTAGCTGTAACCCGCGGGCTTTGCCCCGTTTCACTTCTTAATTTTCAAGATGATCTCGTTCGCATGGCTCAATCATGTCCTGGTTGAAGTTCGTTCGCTACGCTCACTCACCTTTAGGTTGGAGCTCGTTCGCTACGCTCACTCATCTTTAGGTTGGAGCTCGTTCGCTGCGCTCACTTGCCTTCAGGTTAGCTCGTTCGCTACGCTCACTCGCCTTGAGGTTGAAGTTCGTTCGCTATGCTCACTCACCTTTTGGTTACAAATTAGCTGTTGTCATAAATGTAAAAGAAATAATGGTGCTGCACCCTGTTGGTAATCCTTGTAACTTTAATGCTATTGAACATCATAGAACAGAACCAACTTGTTTAATTGAAACAGCTGTTAAGATTCATTAATTCCATTTAAATATAAGTACTCATAAGATTAACATGGGAAATTCCAGAGCCACTGGGGCGGAGCCCGAGAGTCCGATCAGAATAAAAACCACTTAGTTTTCCTATTTAATGCCTAAAGAATCAGTGTACCAAATTTCAGCCTCCTAGGTAAATGGGAAGTGGGAGAATTAGTGATGAGTGAGTGAGTGAGTGAGTCAGTCAGTGAGGGCTTTGCCTTTTATATATATAGATGGTGCGGGTTAACACCTAAATCATTTTATAATATAAGTTAACTCAGATGGGTAACTTATTATGTATCATTTTTGTTTGGAAACAACCAAATTACTTAAATTAAATTAATTACTTGCCGGTCTTAGATTTGCAATGTCGAGGTTTCCTTATTTTATGACACCTAGGTTTAGTTATAATTTTCTTAAGTCACATCACTACTCATCTTAAATGTCCTCTTACTTTAATTTCTGGCTACCGACAGTTATATGGATAAATGACAGTGTTTTGCAATGAGTAAGCTTACGGTACAGTTAAGTTAGTGAGTATCATGATAAATATATATATAGCCTAGTCCTATAAGTAAAGTACCACACCTGATTGCTATGGTATTTTTTTATTAGGTAACTTACAGTAAGTTAGGACTCCGTCTATATACTTATTACCGGAAGATGTATTGACAGGAGCTTCTTAATCTTATTGTAGTTGTCGACCACGCTTCTCTTTTAATTTACCTCTTTGCTGAGCCAAACATCTGTTTAAGTAGTGTATTTAATTTTCTGTTTGTTTTAACATTAATTATTTTGCCTTGTTTAAGTTCATCAAGATCCGACGTCCCTCAAGTCCTTGACGTTGCCCTGCTAAGAACCCCTTTATTTGAGATTCTTCTGTAGACTTGACTTTTTATGAAACTTAGCCTAACAAAAGATAAGAGTGTCATATAAGCTAGCTCAAATGTTCCGTAGTTTAGACTAACTACACATAGGCTACTTAAAAACACCTTATTTATTTATCTATGGTTACACCATTTAAACAGGATTGACATGCTGACATTATGATACAATATTGGAAGATTGAAAATATAGATGAACGTAAAGTGATATATGAATGCGAGTGAAAAGTAAAATGATAACATAATTACTTAGCTTAATTAAATTTGCTTCCCTTCTGCCTTTTCTCGTGCTTTTTTACATTTTTTGTTATTTTGCGTCCTTAAACATAAAAATACGCTAACTAGTTTGGCCTCGCTCTCATGATTCTTAGTTCGTACATGAGCTTTTGAAATTCAGTTAGAAGCCTGTGTCTATAACTGACACTAATCCAAAAGTCAATATACCGTAGGCCTAACGTAGGAAAGATCAGAACAGAAACTTCAATGGGTTCGAACTGCTTTTCATATAAAATTGTTTAAATTACCAGTAACTAACTTTGACTTCAATTAAAAATGCCACTTTTGTGTAGAAAAAAAGATTTGGAATAATGCCAAATAGGTTTAAATAGTTAAACTGAGCTTTTTATTTGTTGCAGAAGCAGAGGTAAGATGTGTACCTCCACCTCGTATGATGCCGGAGAACCAGTTTTTCAACCAAGCCACTTTCAATTTAGCCATGAACCAGTACCGGGCCATGGAGTTCCTTCAGCAGCAAAAACAGTACCAGATTAAAGTGGAGCCAGAGGTAAAAAACACAGTAGTGCTATGGTAGGCTATATAATGTCATAGAGAGGAGAAAGATTAGTGTTATCGTGACTAAAAGACCTAGCCTAGATGTTGTGTTTGGCCGTTGACATGGTTTTGTCGTAGCTGACACATCTATCATTCACTGCCGTCATCGGCTCCTCGCTATTCAATTCTGCTTGACGCTGCAGCGGTGTACGCCGTAACTAAACGGCACACCTAGTGGTGGACGCCAGAACATATCCTAACTGCAGCACTGCTGTCAGTCTTAACCTATTCTATTTGTCTATGATTGTATACAACTAGCCCAAAATAAGAAGCCCCTAGAAAAAGTTCTTTGACCCCTTCTCCTTAGATAGGCCAATGTTTGACCACATGGGGAGCGAGCTGGCGTAGTGGTTAGAGCGCGGGACTTCAGTCGCTAAGGTCCCGGGTTCGATCCCCGCCAAGTCACCAATGGATTTTATCTAAGTGATAATGCCGCAACCCCTAGGTCTAGCCTGAAGTAATGTGAAAAACAATGAAGTGGCCCTGGGTGCCTTTCTCGATATTCAAGGTGCTTTTGATAATACTGGTACTCCAGCGATTCTTAATGCGGTGAGAGCAAGAGGTTTTCACGGTATAATATGTAGATGGATTGAATCCTTGCTTCACAGTAGGAAGGTTAGGCTCTCACTCCATAATGACACTATCGAGGCAAGAACTACTCGAGGATGCCCTCAGGGGGGGGGTTCTCTCTCCCCTCCTTTTGAATCTGGTAGCAGATGACCTTATAAGGACCCTCAATGAAAGTGGGGTTTTCGCCTTAGGTTACGCTGATAATGTTGCAATCCTTGTGGTTGGAAAGTTCCACGGAACCATAACTGACCTTATGAATAGAGCTTTAAGGGTAGTGGACCGTTGGTGCCAGGAAGTTGGGCTCTCTATAAATCCCAGGAAAGTTGTAATGGTACCCTTCACAAGAAGGAGGAAACTGGATGGGATCGGCCCACTAAGACTGCAGGGCACTGTAATAGAGCTGCAGAATCAGGTGAAGTATCTTGGTGTAATTTTGGACAGATCACTTCACTGGGGACCACATCTTCAAAAAGTCACTGAGCGTGGCAAATGGTCCCTTATGGCATGCAGGCGGATGGTAAGTGGCACATGGGGGTTACAGCCTTAACTTTTGCACTGGCTGTATGTATCTATTGTTCGACCGCCCTTACTTATGGTTCGCTTGTGTGGAGGCCAAAGATGGAATCTACTATAGCTGTCAAAGCTTTAGCAGGAGTTCAAAGGCTTGCTCTTATAATGATAACTGGGGCAGTAAGCAGCTGTCCTGGAGCGGCTCTAGACTGTCTGCTTGATATGCTACCTATCGCCATTTACATCAAGGTGGTAGCAAGTAAAACAGCCCAACGCCTTAGATGCGAAAACTTATGGATAATCTCAGGAAACAATAAAGGGCACTCCAAAATTGTTCAGGTGGTACATAATGATGAATTGGACTTGCCTTCAGATCACATGTCCAAAAAATACTCCTTTGGAAAGCCTTTCAAAGTACTAATACCAGATAGGAAGGATTGGTCTGGCGAAAAAGGACCCATACCCACAGGTGATTTAGAATGCTATACCGATTGTTCTAAGATCAATAATGGGGGCACTGGAGCAGGTGTGCATTGGACAAATGGAGGCACTGGCATTTGTCTTCCAATGTGGGTGTACCCAACTGTTTTTCAAGCAGAGGTCACTGCCATTCTGGTTTGTGCTCGAGAACATCTTAACAAAGATATCAGAGACAAAACAATCAATATCTATATTGATAGTCAAGCGACCTTAAAAGCATTAAACTCTTACAAATTCAACTCCAGGCTCGTGTGGGACTGTCTTGCTTCTGTGTCTGAGTTGGGTAGGAGAAATGACCTTACGCTTTGCTGGGTGCCAGGACACTCAGGCATTAAAGGTAATGAAGCTGCAGACAGATTGGCAAATACTGCCTCTGCGACATCAATGATAGGCCCACAACCCTTCTGTGGCATCTCACGAAACAGTGCATGTTCTTCGAAATTGCGTCATGGGCCAAGGAAAAGCATCGCAAACGCTGGGTCGATGTTCCCCTTCTTAGGGTCAGCAAGCTTACTCTGTTTAGGCCTTCTAAAAAGGTCGCCTCTGACCTCTTGAGACTAGACAGACGAAGAATTAAATTAACTGTTGAACTGATAACAGTGATAACTGGTCATGGAAGATTCAGGAAACATTTACAACGGATGGGCTTATATGATGGTGAACCGATCTGTAGGTACTGTGATAGGTCAGAAGAGACAGCTGATCACTTACTCTTTGATTGTAACAAGCTCTCTTACGCTAGATCGATAACTCTTGGAAATATGGCTAGAGGTAGATACCTTCCTGAGGATGAACTAATTGGGAAGCTACAGGCATTCATTGGGCGCCTTAACTTGTAGGTCAACAAGAAAGCAATTGTCTGGGGTGCGCAATAATTCGATTTCGGATGAAGTGCTTTAAGGTCTCGACCTGCCCCTGTTAGATAAGATAAGATAAGATCCCAGGCTCGTGCCTAGCGTCCTAGGACAAAAAAAAATGTTCGACCACATAGGTATATGTTCTAAGTTATTGTTATAGTGTATTTGAAATAGAATATCTTTCAGTTTTTGAGATAAATATCTACAAAACTATTGCAACCCTTTGAAACCAATATTGTTGCTAAAGTATTACAGGAATATCTGGTGGTGACAGTATATTGTTGCCAATGTAACCTTAGGTGACACCAGAGAAGTGAGGTACAGAGGAAACTTGTTTGGTACAACCTTGCACTTTCAGCTCTAAATATGTGGTGCCTGATATATATAAATTCAAATTTTTTTTTAATTGACATCTTAAAAACTACACATTCTAGTCTGCTGCAGAACAAAGAATAATATGGCATAAAGATTTTACAAGTTTGTTTAACACGTTTGCTACTGCAATAGTACAAATTTTTTTCTATTTCTGACGTACAACTGCGTCACTTGGTCTATCTTGGCATTATCCTTACATAGATGTTGCTTTTATATTTGTTCAGTTATAAACTGTTCTTGAATAATCTGTTTTTTTTTTACTTACTTTCACCTCAAAACACAAAAAAATATTAACTGTCGCATATATGCGGCCTTTAGGCTGTTTCAAGAAAACTATGATAGTTTTCACTATTGTCTTCCCTGTAGACCGGGCGTCGCAAATATGCAACATTACAAAAGGTTATAAAAAATACAAAAAAACAAGAATAAATTATTTACAAACACTATTGCAGCGTATTACAATGTAAATGATCACTGTTTTACAGGTTTTCGCCCGTGGTCTGTGTGTACTGTTAACCAAGTGACAGCTGGTCTATGTGTAAGATTCAAATGTATACCTCGGTCTGTGGCAATGACTGCGGCGTCGCATATATGCGACGCTCAGTAGCGAACTTGTTAAACCTAATTATGATTATTGTTATAAAGGTGGTTTCTTAAAAAGTTATTAGAACATTTTATGGCTATACTTGTGATAAGCTAGGAAGAGCCCGAGCAGCGAGCACTGTACAGGGTCATCCCCCACCATGAGCGTTTTAGTACATGAGGGTGAGGAGGGCAGTGTTGGATTTTGCCATAGACACTCAGTGACTAGTGCTATGCACCACTTATGTGTACTGTTGAATGTTTCCTGATTACCTTACTTCTCTGTGGCACTACTGAAACATTTAAGCCAAAGAAAAAAAAATACTCTTAGGTCCTTAGTTACTTTTCTACTAATTATAAGACAATTTTCCAATTACAGCTGGGCTTTTTCCACCTAGGCTATGTATTTTATTCAATTCCCAACTAATTTCCAGATGAGTTTTTACAACTGCCAAAACGAGGAGAGTGAAGATGAAAGCAGTAGTGACAAATCCGACCGCAACTCTCCCACTGCCTTGACAATCGACGAACAACCGCCCTCCATTGATACCAACAGTACAAAGAAAACACAAATATGCAACGTGTGTGGCAAGATCCTGTCTTCCCCATCGTCCTATTATGTCCACATGAAAATGCACTCAGAGAACAAGCCGTTTGCCTGCACCGTAAGTAGGCCTAACCAAGAACTATTTTCCATGTTCAAATATTTTATTTCATGTTATAAATTTTGATAAACTTTTTAATAGGCCTACATAGGCCTTTGGTAGAAATCTATATAATTAATACGCTACATGAAACTTTGTCGGTTGAACTCCTCCGCCATTTCTTAACCGATTTTATCCATTGACGTCTCATTGGAAAGAGCGTGTCGCGTAGATTTGCAAACTGGCCTTACATTTTTGAAAGAGTCCCTTGGGCTCTGCCCCAGTGGCTTTGAAAGATCCCATGTTATCCTTATGAAGAACATAATTGTTTACATTTTGATCAGCTGTATAATTTAATTGCTGTTATTTATTTTTCAATTCAATGAAACGCATAGAGTACATTTATTTACTATTTGAGTTTGTGTAAACATAACCCCCAAGACGGATCGTATTAGTATGGTTGTTGTATCTTAAATTTGTGTATTTATCATTGTTTTGTGTCGCTATGACGGATTGAGTTAGCATGATTGTAACTTAAATTTGTGCATTTATCGTTGTTTTGTATAGCTATAATTTGTTTATTTGTTGTATTTCCTTTTAAATGCCTCCGACGCGACGACAACGAAACATAGACAAGAGGCGTAATCGTGATAACGACCGCAGCTACAGAACAGTGGCGCGTAAAGGGCGTTATTATACATCGATGGTAGGCTTAACTCATCACAGTCAGCACCTGACCCTGAACAATCTCAACTATTAAGTTACAAATGCGCCCTAACACTACCCCAAAACGACTTTTCGTTCTCAATTGGCCCTCTATCAATGACCTGTATTGCCTGTACAACGAGGCACTTTGAGAAGGAGAAAATCGGCCGGAATGCTTTAGGTTTATCAAAAACGAAGATAAATATGATCTGAGTTACACACTGGTAATCTTTGAGTTGACTCTTTTAAACTCATTGTAAATATGACTGTTATTCGTTTTGAAATAACTCCTGTAATACTTTGCAATTGCTCGATTTCGAGCAACATGTACACTAGTTATTGATTACACTATTAATCTCAGAAGATTATCATACCCATTAATACAAACAGAACGTATGGGAGAAAATTTGTCTGGTAAATTCATACTGCAAGTTTTAAGCAAGTATCAACTCATGAATGTGACATACAAAGTGGCTAATTTTTACTAAACCCAAATTTTCTTGATCTTTGGGAAGCTTTGTAACAGTTGGAGTGGAGTGCCTGTCTGACTAGGAAGTATGGTCTTTTAATTGGCCCAACTAAATTTATTCCAAAACTACAGTCACAAAGGCAGTCTCCTACAGTGTGTTTCTTGTGTGTTAAAGAAGTTGATGTTCTATTTTATCCTTGCATATGCCTGTTTATATTGGCCTCCGGCCTGTGCGTAGAACTTATCAAAGAAAGCAAAGAGTTAAAGCTGATACAATACAAGGATGAACTTTACTGATAAATAGTGGCGTCTCCTGGATACAAGCCCACAACATTGCTGCCTTTGATTCATTGCCTGTTGTGCTATCATATGAACCACCAAATCACCGACCTAGTATTATAACCAGCTATATTGTATAAGACTTTATTTTTAAAACAATCCTAATATTTGTATCAGGTAAGTCAAGACTAACTTTTTTTAGTTGTTTAACTAAACTTATTTCCATCCCCTCAGATGTGCGAGGCTAGTTTCTGCCGTAAGCCGTACTTGGAGGTGCACATGCGCACGCACACAGGAGAGAGACCTTACCAATGTGAGATCTGCCAAAAACGCTTCACCCAGAAGAGCAGTCTCAACACGCACAAACGTGTACACACTGGGGAACGTCCATACTCTTGCGATATTTGCAATAAAAGGTAATATAAGCAGATTTGAAAATATGATGTAGGCTAAGGTGTTATTTTTGGGAGATGTATAATTTACTTACACCTTATAAGCCTTGGATATACTAGAGCTTGCGTCTCCCAGCCTAATGTTTGACAAACAGAATAACAAAAAAGCTACAGTTAATAATACCATTTATATCCCCCCCCCAACTGCATTCAAAGGGTGAAAATACAGATTCTAGTGAGTCGATGTTGTATAAATACAATGTAATCCAATGCTACAACATACTGTTTCTCAGATTCGCTGTGAAGAGTTATGTCAACACCCATCGCCTCAGTCATGTGGGGGATCGTCCTTTGGCGTGTGACCGGTGTAGCGTTGTCTTCACCTCTAAGGTAAACTTACCTTCACATCTTCAGTAAAAGGCTGTTAGATTAATGCACAATTTTCCCCACTCACAGTTTTAGCATAGACTAAGCAACACAAGTAGACTCCTCATCCCATTGTAAACTTTGAAGCTTGTTTTTTGTGTCTAGTTCATGTACGTACTCACTAATCGCTGGGGTAGACAAAATTTTGTTTCTATTATTTTAGGGTTATTTTCATGATTTGTGCTTTACTGTTTGGATATATAACTAGGAGACCAGTTATTGTTTATGATTAGGCCTATATCATTTTATTTGGTTAAATGAGGTTTTCAATTACTGAAATAAAAAGAAACAAACTGTAAACAAAACACAATCTCTACAGTTGGACATACAGAACTCACAATAAAATTGGCTTCAGCTGTTCCATAAGGATGACAAATCTGCTAAGGGAGTATGTTATGGTATTTTAGTTACCGGTAATTCAAAAATTCACGTATTTTACAGTCATCTATAGCCTAGTAGGCCTATATTTAAATATCTCAAAAAGTCGGCAATAGAAACTGAGTCTATTAGATTACTATCCGTAGCCCCCTTGTACTGTCTAAAATTAGGTTGGATAAATAAACAAAACATCAAATAAAAAAATGGGAAATAGCAACTACCAATCACACAGCCAGCGAGAACTCGTATCACTCACAGACAACCTGTGAGCTGTGAACGCATGTGATATTTTTTCAGTTACATATTGTAATGTTGTTGTACTGTTTGACAAAATAAAAACTTAAATTATTTGATTTGATTTTACAGATATAAATGTAGGGATGTGTGTTAAACATCAATGATTCTTACATTTCCTTGTATATTCCCTAGGCACGCACTCTCGTAAGGTAAAGTGTTTCTCATTTTCACAAATTAGCCACTTACTAATTCATAATAACTCCCATTTGAGAACACCATCCCATTCAAAAACTTCTTGCTTGCAATCCAATCAAATTTTGTAACACTCTACCCCTTCAAATCAAGTCCAAATCAGACCCCAAGTCATGAATGGTGAGAAAATTTACTAGAGTGTCTGATCATTTTTTGGCGATTTAAAGTCATTAAAAATTTTTTATTTAAAATGTTCAGTCAAAATTCATTTTGGTATGTTAGCTAAAGCAGTGTATATTATCAATTTGGTTGATGAAACAAGTTATGGAAATTAAATAAGACCTTTGCAAAGATAATTAAATTAGAAAGTAAAAACCATTTTTCAACATACAACAGAATAACTTGACATTACTGCTGGTATTTTAACCAATGATCTGGATGTACTGTGCAGGTTCACTACACGGAACACATGCGGACTCACGCAGCCAGACACATGTTCGGCTGTAATGTCTGCGGCCGCACCTTCGCCAAGGACAGCTACCTCATCCGTCACCACAACAGGGTGCACCGCGGCGACGGAGCCGTACCCATGGCTGTACCTGCGGAACTCAACATGGCCGGGTTTGATATGAGGTACGACATTGCTACACTTTATATCTATGAGGGTTGTCTGCAAGATAAGTTCTCCATCAAGCTATCATGGCAGTCAAGCTAGTTCAAAACTAAGAACAATTTCTATTTCCTTAATTTATCCACTAAAATTCTAGTTTGTTACCACCCAATTAGGACGGTTAGTCTCTTCATAGTAAAAAAAATTTTGTGAAAAAAATCAACACGCACACAAAGTATTTAAAGCGTGTTGAATGTGAAGAGAGTTCTGTGGTCTCAGACATCAACCGCTATTGATGTCCATCACCAGTATACTGATATGAGTGGAGTAAAGTGTTAGGATGTAGAAAAAGTGTTCAAAAAACGAGAGAGGTAATCAAATTAATAGGGAACGTCTCTGTACACTATAGTCAGCCCTGGAATTTTTCCCTTTATGTAAATTGTGGTTTTAAAAATAATGGAAAACTTATAATTTTGACAAAACTTTTTGAACGATTTTGACTGAAATTAGGGGGTTATAGTCCATTTAACCTTGAACAAATTGGCACAACCCCTAATGCTGTAAAAAGTACATTTCAAAAGTTATTGCATTTGTTATGATTTATCTCATAAAAACCTATACTATAAGTTATGCTCTGGTTGCTGGTACCTTCTAAAACCCTTCCAGGGCTAAATTAAATAAAGGGCTGGGGCTTAATTATTTTTTGCCATAAATTAAAAACTAAAGTGGTTGTGTTTTGTACTTATTTCACTTGAAATAATTCATGGATCATAAAAAGATTTTCCTTAGGGCTGAACTAATTTTTGTACTAAAGTTATGAAGAAAATAAAATTTGATTTGACAGATATATCCGTCTTTGGCCCACAAAAAACATAAGGTGGACGGATATATCCGTCTGCAGCCCTCAGTGATAATTACAAAATATGAACACTGCCAATAATCTTGAGTTTTCTTGTGGGCGGCAGACGGATATATCCGTCAACCTTAGGCTATTCCTTCCCTTCTTTTATTTTTTTCATAAAAATGTATCTATCATTCTGAAGTAAATCTAAACCATTCAGTTCCGCTCCCATGTCCTCAATCCCTTTCCCCGCCAAGACTTCCACTACGTAAAGACTGTTCTTCAGGTACATCATATCCATCACATTCCATACTATTATTTTCACTGTCAAGTATAAAACCCCCCTCAGACATACTTTTATTAAGCATCTCGATAACATCTTCAAATTTCAGATCGTTTGCATTAGTAACTTTAGCTCAATAACATAAATAACATAAAAATAAAGTAGAAAACACAAAATGTAAACATCACTCACTAACAACCATGTGTGAAGTGACAGCAATATTTACTTACGCACACTCTATGGTGCAAAATAGCCGAAACAGCTGCGGCAATTATTATTGCCAACAACAAAAACAAAATAACCCATTTATAATGCAATGTTTTTACCCTATTATAAACATCGTATATCAATTCGTTCTTTGGACGGATATATCCATCTTTATTCTTTATCCCAGAAAAGAAATTTCTCGGGGCAGATATATCCGTTTTCAGCCCGGAAAGTAAATAAAGATTGACGGATATATCCGTCCATAGCCCTGGAAGGGTTAAGTTTTTTTTTTTGTTTGACTTCAATGTAAAGCATATGGTGAAAGTATGGCCAAAACCTTCATTTCTATTGAAATAATCTATTTCTTTTTCTTTCAGAATGAGAACCAATGCAGAAGAAATCAGGTTACAAGATATTTTTAGGATGAAACCAATGCAAGACCTCGGAATCCCAGATTACCTCAGAATGAATCCCGAGACGGAAATAGTTCCATCGGTGCAATGCTTCAAAGTCAGAGAGAGTATGGTCGAAGAGAAACCAGTTGTTGAATGCTTCCGGGTGAAAATCAATCCTGAGAGGAAAGTTGCCGCAGAATGAAATAATATTGATAAGCTAAATGGAAACATAGGGTTCTCATTGTAGTTTAAATGCTTGCTGGAGTGTCAAAAGTAAGTAAATGGCTTAAGTGAAGATGTACTTTATACAGGAAAAGTAGTGTGTGCTATCGTTCTTTTTTTATAATTTGGGATCAGCTTGTTTTTTTTCTTTTTGTTCCATAAACTAGCTTACCATTTAATTTATGTAGGTCCATAGCTTCAAAGTTATATTTAGTTGATTATTTATTTAGAGCTACTAATACTGATATTTTAGTTTTATACAGAAGAACAACAGTAAGAGAGTAAGGTAAAAGATTCTAGTCAAAGCAACTATTCGTTGTGTAAAACTAATGACTGATAAATTACTCTATACCAATGTATATACTATATATAAAATTAGTGTTTGTAGTTAATGTACTAACAGTAAGGGAATTTATTGTTGTAATATATCTTATGTATATTGTCAAAAAATATTTTTGTGGAATGAATACCGATTATTATATTTTAGTAATATAACTTTTGTTCACAATGAATAATGACAGTCAAAGAGTTTTTATCATTTCAATTTTGTATTTCCATCAAGCCTAGTTAGAGTCAGTAAACTAAAAACTAAACTCGGGCATATAATTCCTGATTTTGCAAAAAAAATTCTGTGACCGCAATCATTGACTTTTGGATACTGATGTTCCATTAATAGAGTAGATTCCCTCTTATCCGAACACCTTTTAACCGGACTACACTCGACAAGAAGTGGAAAATATTTAAACGACTGTTCTTGTGGGAAAGATTTCAGACCAGTGATCACGTTTCTAAATGTATTGTTCTTGTAAGTAAAATATTTGGATTAGTTCTCGTGTTAATCCAAATTTTTAGGGATGTCGGTTTAGCCGGAAAACCCATTATCCGGACTTGCCCTTGGTCCCGAGTAGTCCGGATAAGAGGGAGTCTACTGTAGTCCAGGGTGCAATTGAGCGTGCCCATGTTTCTCAGGAACTTCCTATTTTTGATATTTTGTGAAATTTGTACTAAGAAATAAGACGAGATTCACTGCAAATAACTTCCTTGATGGTGAATTAATTTTAATATTTCAACCCTTTAAGCCTCATAGTCATTAGAAACCATAAACAACACGACTAATCCATTTAGGGTCTGACTTAGGGGAGGTACAAATGAGGCATTTAGTTCAAAATTCCTCAGTGAACAGCGCTGTAGTAAAAAGCACTTTGGCAATGAAGGTTTACTAATCGCAAAAATAGTTCTGTTCATAAAATAAAATTATAAATGCCTAAAATTCAATTTTATTAATTTTTAATTATAAAATTAAACTATCATAACCTAACCGAACTAACCAAACTTGCTGATAAAGAAATAATATAACAAAAGTTTATAGTAATCGGAAAAATAATTCTGTTTATAAAATAAAACTAGAAATTGCACAATTAAAATTGTATAATGACTTAATAATAAAATTAAACTGTAATAACCAAACCAAACCAACCAAACTTGCTGAAAATAAAAAAAATGTTGGACAAAAAGTTAATGCCACCGGCGGGATTCGAACCCGGGACCTACAGTATTTCAGCCCGGCACGCTAACCATTAGACCACCGATGCCGAATGGCTATCGATCGTTTTGTTACGGTAATGACGTTCCCTCAGCTAATAAGAAGCCCTCAGCTGTCATCGTAGCCTCTTCTATACCTCCCCTGAGTAAATACCCATTTATGGTAGTATAGTTCAACAAAAATGGTCAACAACTGTGCTTGACGAGGCAATTTGGAACCAATAAGGTTGAATGTTAATTTTGAAGTAATAATGTTAGGTTCGATCATTGCATTCATAAGATGCTGGAAACATTAAAATAGGCTTAATCAAATTACCCTCTTGGTTTAAAGGGTTAATTAAAGTCCATAGTAAGCCTGGAAGCAGTTTCTATTCAAACTTGATTATTGACACATTTTCGATTTTTTGCTTTAATTTTATACCAGTGATGTACAAACTATCAAAATATTCAAAGACCATGCTGGCAATTGAAAGTACTGTATTGTTTTATATCATGAATTACTATACAAATGTGCTAGGGACTTAAGTGGTTAAGGTATAGATCAATTTTACAGCATGTTGTCGTTTGTTACTTTATTTAGGAGTTTTTATTTAATAAAATATACCCTTTTAAGCTGATTAGTCAAATGAGAGAAATTATTTTTAAATGCAATCAGACCTATAATGATTAAGTAAAAAACTTAACATTGTTAATTAACGTTGCATTTTCAAATTCATAAGGTACTAAACTAATAGTAAAGAAATACTCTTTAAGTAGATTGAAAGCCTAACTACAACCCATTTCCAGCTTGGATGTTACCTCGGTTTTTATTTGACTCTTTAAGCTCATTTTGCCAGTCATACTAACCGTATTGTCAATTTAAACAGCTTTGACTAATATCAATATCAGCTGTCTCTGCCGTTTACTGACCACTTTTTCCATGCATCAGCTCATTAGCAGCGATTATGGTGGCTTTTCCTCCACTAGCTTGGAATAATTTTAGTTTCAAAGTTGCTCACTAGTTCAAGTGATCAAGTTTATTCAAGTCGCTACAAATTCTATGGTTAGTACAGCTGGGAATCAAACCGATTAAGACGAAGTGAAGTTGGTCAAACAGATTGCAAAGTTTTAAATCGCTTCTGTTAAAATTAATGTGATTGATATAGGGGAGCGATTGGTCTAGTTGTAGAGTGCAGGACTTTGGTCCCCGAAGTCCCAGGTTCAAATCCCACCAAATCAATTGGATTTTATTCCAGTGATTTTTAAAAGTGATAATGCCCCTAGGCCTAGCCTGAAGTCATGTGAAAAACAATACTGGGCTTGGGCCTAGCATCCTAGAACAGAAAAAAATATTATATAAGCTAAAACATCAAAGTCATATTCCCAAGCTTATTTATAGTTTGACTTGAAGTAACAATAGTTATTATTTTGTGTAACTAGTGTGCGAAGTGGCACTTTACTACACATGAGAGAAATATTTACGAACAAGCCGCAGGCAATGTTGAAAGTTTCTCGAGTGCAGCAAAGGCACTTTGCACTTGCGTTACACATTATATTTTTCCTACGGTTACTATAAAGCATATAAATAATTAGTCTTTCATACACTATACAAAACGTTTTTAGGTTAGGTTAAATCCAAGCGTTGAAAGAAATGTGAAACGCTGCACCAGACTTATGTATTTATTAAAATTGTATCCAATATATTGTATTTTATATAAGGATTTAAAGTTCACAAATATTGTAAAAGCAATCACTGTAATCTACAAAAATAAAAAAATGAGAAGAATTTTCAAGAGAATTGATTTTATGAGATATTTAGATTAAAGTAATATAATATATTCAATACACCATTTCATCTTCTACGAAATGGAAATAACCAGTTCTTAAAATTTACTCATGCAAATATTACGAAATATTTGAATTTGATAAGCAATTAGATTTTGGTATTAAGTAATATTATTATTATTTATGACTATGTTGCCCGGTAAAATGTATTTATTTTATGGTATATAATCTTGGGATAATTCTTTATATTATTCTTACTATTGCCAAATACAGTATGAGTTAAGACTCATGATATTTTCTCTAGTCAATATTAATATTGTTGAATTTTAGTTTCTTTATTATTAGTTTGTTACTGATGTTTAAGTTGTGTTGCTATTTAACATTTATGCATTAAATATAAGTGCCACAATCTATGTTTTATTTATGTCTATCCCAATTACCAACATCTTCTCCACATTTTAAGTCAAATCCATTTTTTTCTCTATATAATAACCTCAATAACACTAAACCTCAGAAATAAAGTAAATACAGATACCAAAATAAAAGCTTGTTTTTTTTTAACAGCATCTCGAGGTACTTTTAAATTGGGTTGTGTTAAAAAACACTAGCATTACTTTTTAAAATAAGTGGAAGCAATATTTCTATACAAAAACTTTTTTGAAAACTATCTTGTTAACAAGTTTTTATTAGCTCGCTTTCTTGTCTGTTCGGTGCAAATTTTGCAATCGATTTTAAACTAACTTCCCGATTAGCTAGAGACTTGAAACTTGAAATATATCTCACAAATGGATGACAATGCAATTTAAATCATTTTACTTTCATATTTCCCTTGGCTACGCCCCATGAGCTTCCAAAGTTTCAATGTTTTGGAAGAATGCAAATGTAAATAGTCAAATATATAAATAATTGAATTTAGCTGTAATTTGACAGTTTGTTCAAAGAGCAGAGGTTAAGAGGCAAAGGTACTGCTCCCGAGAGATTCTAAAAAAACAGACTGTACTTTAAAATGGTAAAGATGACGGTAAAAATTAAAATTTTTTTGATTACAGATAAAAAGGTTTTGGATTATATGCATTAACAGACCACATATAATCGATTTATCATATTTACTCATTAAAGACTAACAAGTAGAAAACAATTAATAAATAAATACGGTGCTTAAATAATTAATAAATAAAAAAATACCACGTTGTTAAACGCCCTAAAAAGTAGAACAAATTTATAAATATTATGTGGAGAGAATACGAGAATACTTGTAAGATTTAAAACAAAGAACGTGGGACACATGCAATAGATAATAATAGTTGTCATAGAAAACAAACAAATTCACAAAGTACATCCTGTTTGTATGATTTACTTCTATATTTCCTAATTGGGGTTAAAAATAACTAGTAATTCAATAGGTGAAGAAACTTGTCAATTATCTATTGCTTGCCCCCTGCGTTTTTCGTTTTAAATCTTACAAGTATTTATTCTCTCCATAAACTATTTCCTTCTTTTTAGTGTGTTTACAAAAGTGGTATATTTTAAAAGTTTTTTTATTAATAAATTTTTAATATACAAAAAAATGGACAGGTTGTAGTTTTAAATGTCGAAATTTGTCTTAAATACATAAGAGGCATGTGTGTTACAAGTGGGTGGTTATGTTTAGTCCTCCCCCCCCTCTCTCCCCCCTAAAATGATAACAGAGCAGGTGCAGATAGTGCAGTGCAAGAGTTTGTTGACTTCTGATTGAAGTGCTGAATTATTATCTGGGCAGGAGCAAGAAAATCACACTTTGACTGGAATACTCTTCTTTCTAGGTATGAGTTTAATTGATAGGTAAATATCATAGGTTGGATAACCATTAGATGTAACTGGTTTTATTTTGTTGCTGTAAGTTTGTTTCCTTTTTTAAATCAGAACTTTTCTTTAAAGGTATATGGAAATAAAATTAAGTAACAATTTAGTTCCAGTAACAAATTAACTACTGAGTAAATCAGTAATTATCACGAGGAATATAGTAGGCCTAATATTTTGTATGTGTTAAATATAGTAGGCTTACACATACAAATGTTAACACTTTTGTTAGTAAAAAATTGACTACAGAGTAAATTACATTCCAGCAGCTTTCAAACTATTTAGGTATGTAGATTTAAAATGAGAAAGAGGAAGGATCTATAAAATCATATGCTTTACCTCTACCGAGTTTCTACGCCCAGCCGTTCTCTCAAAATAGCTGTGACAAAGAAAAACAGTTTCAAATTATGGTTTTTCTTTGTCATAGCTAAATTGAGAGAACGGCTGGGCGTAGAAACTCGGTAGAGGTGTCTAAAGAAAGGTCTTGGTCTGTAGATGAGTGAAAATTTAAAAACGTACGTTTTCATGTCCCTGGCCTTTTACTTCGTAGATACTGGATTTGTAGTTTATTATTATGTGTTTTAATATTTTTTGGGACGGGGGCAACATGTTACACACATTTATTTAGTTTTAAATAGGTTCTAGGTATTTTTTTCGTATTTTTAAAGTCTCAAAATTCACGACCATGACGTGTCCCTAGGGTACATTTTCCAACTTTCACGCTGTTTTTAGACTAATTATTCATGCCGAAATATATAAAGTCATATTTTTATGTTATCAATGGTTATTAAACTTACAAAAAAGGAGTATATTATAATTTTATTGTCATTGCAGACTGACTACCATGACAAAATAAGTCTGTCCCTCGATTTGGCGTCACGACCATTTGGGAAAATTTTTCAACTTTGGAGCACGACAGTGGCAAGCCTGGCGTCGATGGAGTCAGTTGGTTTTAGAGACTAGTTCGGGGTGTACGTCAGGATTGTAGTGCCGGTCGTTTTGAGTTGAAAGGAGGAATTACAAGATTAATAAAGGAAAGATTGTGTTTTTTGTAATTTTGGTGTGTCCATGACCGTCCGTAGTCATTCGATGAAGTAGACATGGTGTTAATTTTTGTTTATAAGATATTTCAATTGCTAGATCAACCTAGAAGTCCACTTTGTATCCTCGAACATGAGGTGCAGGGCTACCGCCAGAACAGAGCCAAATAACACGTAATTTCACGACCAAAGTTTCACGACCATCGCGGTTTTTTTCACGACCAATCCAGCCTTATGGATTATAGTTAGTTTGGTCGTGACAATAACTTTAATATAATTGTAAATTGAACAGTTTAGTTCAATTGAAACACATAGTTTTATTATAACTAACAGTATAATTGAAGGATTGTTTGGAAAGATTTAGATTATTCCAGACAATTCACGACCGTACCGCTTGTCCCTGACCATCACGTTTATGATTTCTATCATAAAAATTTCAAAAATTAAAATATCGTCATATTTCAATGTTTTATACACAAAAGAAGCACACCTCTATACAAACATAACGATTTTTCGGGTCTCAGGTAAGTTTTTTCGGAGTTATACAAACTTAAAAAGATTTTATTGGCTTTTTTCTATTTTATGAGTTTTTTAAATTTTTTTCTAGAAAGACCAAATATACCAAAAGCTCAGTGACCTTTTTATTGTATAATGGTCATAAAAGTAAATTAGTTTATAGCAAAACATAGTTATAAAAATAATATTAACTATTTTTAATATTCATTTAAACGTCCGTTATGGTCGTGACAGGATTTTGTGTTTTTCTACTAAAGATGCTCTTTAAAAAGAAAACTACCAAAGATATTGCGTTACCATGGACATTTTATGAAACTTAAAATGTTAATGAAATAAAAATAATAATAAAAGTTTTGAAAAAAGGGGAAAAAAATTTGCAAAGTGCTTTTCCTGAAAACGTACGTTTTTAAATTTTCACTCAGATGAGCCATCAAAAGAGAAACGTGGTAAATTCCCTTGGAGCTCTGCCCCAGTGGCCTTTGAATTCCCATCCCATGTTATTCTTATGGAGGAAAAACTGGGTTTTTGTCCCAGCTAATTTGAGAGAACGGCTGGGCGTAGAATCTTGGTAGGGGTCTCTAAAGAAAGGTCTTGGTCTATAGATGAGCCATCAAAAGAGGAACGAGGTAAATTCCCTTGGGGCTCTGCCCGAGAAGCCTTTAAAGTTGCCTCTACAAATTTGTTTACCTACCATATGCATAATTCTACACTACTTTTTAATGAAACAGCTGTTAATATTTAAATTGTGATTTATTGAATTTTTCAAAATGAAGTACAGTATTTGCAATGGGTTTTTCTGATTTTAAAATCGATTTTATTCTGCATTGTGTCATGTTTTGCAATATAATGTTCTATTACCAAATCAGTGGATAATCCTAATATCACAGTAACTCTTAAAATTATTTCTTAAGGAGTTAACTTATATCTATTGTATGGCTTGGTTTCTGCCTTGTTTTACCACTTCTTGGAGATTGTACGTAGGTGATATTCTTTGGCGTATTGCATCTGTAGACGAAACTTGGGTTGGTGAAATTATTACAATCGAAAAAAGCGAGAAATCCTGGAAATTTGATATAGGCTAAAAATAAAACTGAATTAACAATATGCTACATTTCTTGAGCAATCATTGAAATAACCGATTTGCAAACAATGGAAACACAGAAAAAGTCATAGAAGAACACAACCAAGTAGAAGAAAAGAAATATTTTTTTCATTTATAATCGTTATTATAGACAACCTAATGCGGCTATGAGAGGGAAAAATGTGTAGAAACACTAAAAAACAAGATCAGCATTTTGAGAAAAGATATAAGATATTTACAAAAGATTTTGATTATATCTAACACTGTTGTGTAGATCGTGAGTATTTCCATAATCTTCGTGAGTCGCCTGTAATGCTTCGCAATTGCTCAAATTCGAGCAACAGGTACACTAGTATGGATGAGTTCAAAAAAATCTTATTTTTTAAACACTCCCCAGACAGCACACTTTATCCCAGGGACATCCCATAGTAGTCCCATACGTCCTGAGAATGTCTCGGGATATGTACGCTATCCTCAGGATATCCCGCAAAATCCCGGGACAAGTACGAAATCCACAGGATATCCTACAATATACCGTAATGTCCCGGGATTTGTAAGTTAACCTCAGGATATCCTGTAAAGTCCCGGGATATGTACGAATGCCATAGGATATCCCAGAATGTCCCATGACATCCCGGGGCATGTACAAAATCCACTGGATATCCTGTAATGTTCCGTAATGTCCCGGTAACAAACTGAAGAAAAAAAGACTACCACTGATGAAATGTATATCTAAATTTAAATGTTCAACAAGGACAATATATAATAATTTGTTTTTTTGACTAGTGCTTTCAGAAACTTGGTTTCCATCTTCAGGCTGTGTTTACACTAGTACAAAAAGTAAATATTTACTTAATAAATTAATTTTAAATAAAGTTAAAACAGATGATTTAAAGGATATTGGAAAAATAAAAAATAATATTAGAAAAATTTATCTTTTGAATTTTGGATATGTTACAGTGTTGTTCTTGATGTAATTATTTTCAGTAATTCCGAATTTATAATTGGGCCGTCTTCATTATTTAACAAATAATTTTGGTCTGTTTGTTTTTTTCTAAAAATAAGATTCCCACGCATTAAGATGTTGAGGTTTTTATTTTAAATTTTATTAATTTAATTAATTAACTAATTAAATTTATTTTTTAATAATTTATTTTAAAAGTTTAAGGTTTCCCAGATTGAAAATATGTCTTGTTAATACTATGGCTAGCAAGGGTTGACTTTACTTTACTGACATATACTACCACTGAGTTCAGGAAAACTAGAGTTCTATCATAATTGTATAAAATGTGAATTTAATTCTAACTTTAAATTAATAAAACAACCAAAAACTAATTTTAATCATATAACAATCAATTATAACAGTATTAACAGTGGTAATCTAATGGTGATTAAATAATCTATATTCAAATACCAGTATCCTCTCCAACTACCAGAAAAACAATTCAACTACTTGAGGCCTAAACAGATAAACAGAATCATATATATATATATATATATATATATATATATATATATATATAGCCTATACTGTAGTATCAAAAATATTTTAAGTATTGCGACCATTGCAACTGTCGGCTACTCTTTCACCACTTGAAAACACCCATAATCATCAAGCGCAGATAGCTCAGGAGGTAAGGCAAGGGGCTCATAATGCGAAGGTACCAGGTTCGAGACCCGTCTGGACCAAAAACTTTTTTCTCGTTTTTTTCTTCAAAATTTGTGTTTATTAACTATTTAATCAATTTACTAAACTTATAATTAAGCTTTTCATACTAAATCTATATTATTTTGTGTTTTTTATGTTCAGGCCCAGACCACACTTTATCCCAGGGACATCCCACAGTAGTCCCGTATGTCCTGAGAATGTCCTGAGGACTACCCTGGGATGACCTCGGATGTCCCACGGATATGCGTGTGAGCTTATCCGTAGGACATCCCCGGGCGGGGACATTAGGCATTCCTGTGGATATCCTGAGATATCCCAGGTTGACTATAGGACCACTATGGGATATCTTGCATATCCTGTCGCAATATCCGTGGGATGTCCTGAGGAGAAAGTGTGCTGTCTGGGTCAGGGTATTCAATCTCTGGCCCTGGCCCTGGCCCCACTCCTGGGCACTTGGACCATGCCATAAAGAAAATAATTGTGAAGAGGGAGAGAGTTTATGTTAACATTAATAAGATTTTTAAAAGTCTGAAGTCTCCACACATTTAGCAAAAAAATATTAAAATGATTTTGCTCTACTTCATCTATCTATGAGCTGCTATACACATTGTGCTTTGTTTCCTTATTATGTTTAAGCAGCTGTCCCTTGATTGCAGCTATTCAGAGACTATAAGGCCAGATGTTTGAGACAAAGCATTTAAGGAATTTATTCACAACAATGATGTAGATAACTGATGTTCAAAATATTAAGGCGAAATAATTTAATTCCTTATTCCTACATTCCTTTTACAACCCATTTGAAGACGTTGAGCGTTCATAAAACCAGTAATACCCACCACAGCAAACCTGCAGACTAAGCGAATTTCCATTTGCCTGATTATATTTTCACTAAAATATCTTCTTAAAATGTCAAAATCTGTGTTTTTTCATAAAAGAAATTTTGATAACTTAGTATAAAATAAACAAATTTGAAAAATCAAATCTGTTCCAAACAAGGACACTACAACAATGTATTTATTATTCATAAGAATAACATGGGAATTATATTTTATTTCGCCAAAAATGTACTTGGACCACGGCCACCTTTAACTACAGGCCGCGGCCTGGTAGAATTGACAACGTCGTTCCACCATGGTCGCAAGTGGTGTTGTCTAGCGCCAGACGAAATTGCAAATTCTTATGTTTCAAAGGTTAAAAATGAGAAAACCATAATTTTTACCCCATAAAACTCCCGTTCTCATTGTCCAATCATGCTGGTTCGAAATAGTTTTTCACGATATTGTACCAATTTCATCAAAATCAAGGTGATTTTACTCAAGTTATCGTGGTAACAGACACACACACGTCATTATATAAGTTATTTTGAACGGACAGTGGGAACATCAAAATTTAAAAGTAAATCGGTCCCGAGTTTAGTTCTCACCATGAGAGCCACTGCCTATTTATCTAGTTGAAAGTATCCTTAATCCATTACAAAGATTTCATGTTTCGTGCACCACAAGTTACGTGATGAAAATGAAATAATTATGTAACTTAGTTAACAATTTGCATGAAGTAATTCAATTAGTATAACAATTAGTTGGAAACTACAATAACCTATAGTATAACAATTAGTTGGACACTAAAAATCCCTTGTCCTCTTTTCAAATAAAAAAAAATGTCTAGGCTCTTGTCGGCTGCTATTTCGCAAGGGCTTGCTTAGATTTTGTTTTGAGTCCGTGTTTGTGATTGTGTGATTTGGTTGGTTTGGCATTTGAGATTTGACAGATGGGTTGATGTCAATATTGTAAGTGTTTCACAATAATTTATCCAAAATATAACATTTTAGATTTTGCTTTCTGACCCGAAATGTAATATAATTATATGAGCATCGTAACCTTTTATTGAAGATTGCATTTATAATCGGTTAGAATCTTAAATTGTGCCTATGTTACCAAATTCCACTTTTTGCTGTGTAAGCAGGTACCTACCTAGCCTAGCTTACTTGCAGTTGTTACTAAACCCAACCCTTTAAAATTAAGTATTTTATTAGAAGCTTATCTAAAGTTAAATAAGGCAACCTGTAATTCTTCAGATTCCTCTATTATTCCTCAAGAGGACTTCTTGAAATTTAGTATGATGTCTAGACTATGGCTTTCTAACATGTTTATATGTTGCAGCTTGATGAGTACTGAGTAACCACTCTCATAAAATTAAGTGAAGCCTTATAATAAAATTAATAAAATATATACATATATCCATAATAATAATAGGTTAAATACCTTGTTACGTCCTCAATCCAAGTCGTCTTTTATAATGACTATAGTTTCGGGGCCAACAGCCCCATTGTCAAATTTTCTGTCTTGTTAATTACTGTTTACAGCATTGGTCACCGTTGAAGTACACATATACACATACACTAACACACGAAACATTTATATTACACGTAACATTGAAAAATTATACTTTTTGGCCGGCCTAAACAAAAGTGATTACATCATTGTGCGGACCGGTACACTGACTCAGCAAAGTTATTCGACTCAGTCAGTGTACCGGTCCTACAGCAGGGCGACTCAGTCAGTGTACCGGTCCGCACAATGATGTAATCACTTTTGTTTAGGCCGGCCAAAAAGTATAATTTTTCAATGTTACGTGTAATATAAATGTTTCGTGTGTTAGTGTATGTGTATATGTGTACTTCAACGGTGACCAATGCTGTAAACAGTACGGTAATTAACAAGACAGAAAATTTGACAATGGGGCTGTTGGCCCCGAAACTATAGTCATTATAAAAGACGACTTGGATTGAGGACGTATACAAGGTATTTATCCTATTATTATTATTATTATTCAATCCAGGAGGCAAACATGGATAAACATATATCCAGTCTTCTCAATAGTGATTAAGCTTTGTATTTTAGTTTAGAGGGCTTGTATCATTGACTATACAACACTAGTAAGTGTGTATAGTCGACTAGTGTTGTCCTAGTCAATGCTTTTATGCATGGGATACCCTATGGAGTATCTAACTTACCTGGCTTTAGTTAGCATTAGCCTAACTGATTGAGCATTTCTTACTTAATAACTGCATGGCCATAAAGGCTTTTAAGTTAAATAAGTTAAGCTTACATAGATTTTTACATTCATAGGCAGATGGCCATGTAACTTAACTTACCTGTGGCCCTGAAGGAAAAGTAAGGAAACAAACATATAGGCCTAGTTAACCTACAAAATATATTCAACACCAGCTAATCTCAGCCTCCCTAAGTTTACGATAATTACTGTTCCAGAAGATGAGAGGTAGTGAGCAGCTTCAGTGGTTGCTGGGGTGGAACTTACTATTCTCTGTCGTCTCCCAGCTCGACCTAGACTCACCACAGTGGCGAGAATGTCCTCAGATGCTGCCCAAGGTCCTCGTTGGCTACGCGCCGCGTGGCAACGAGTCAGCTGGCGTCTACAAGAAGAGTCCTGAGGCAGTGACTATATCAAGTTGTGTGGCCCTGTGTTGTGAACAGCCATCCTGCAACATTGTCTTTATGTTCAAGCAAACTTGTTTCCAAGTAAGCTGATAGTTTCAACTTAATCAATCAAATTTTTATCACAAATTTAATAGGCTAGGCCTACCTGTATTATTTTAGTTGACAAAGAGATTCAGTTGAGATGGTCCCAAATACCTAGGTCTATATTGGTTTTTTTTATGCATACACACAGCATAGAAAGTTCTGCTCCTCGGGTCAAAGCATTATCACATCCTGCCACTGATGATATTTTGATTTTAAACCCGCGTCATCAAGTCAGAAGTCACATGCTTTTACTACAGCCACAGACTGTTTCAAATCTGAGTGTTATTTTTTAATAGTAGTTTAAGACTTGTTTAGATAGGTAGGCTTTTCGTAAATTATGGTTTATGAGATCTGTGGATCTGTGTAGCTTTGTACAATTTGTTATTTATTGGCAGAAAATATTGGTGCTTAGTGTGAAGAAACTATATTTTATTTAGGTAGGTAATCAAAATGAACAAATTAGTGACTATATCAAGTTGTGTGGCCCTGTGTTGTGAACAGCCATCCTGCAACATTGTCTTTATGTTGTTATTTAATAATAAGTTATTTTATCTAATAATTTCAACAACTCATCTAAAAACCAAATGTAATAATAATAATAAATAATCAGTTCATCTGATCTTTTAAACATTAAACATATGGTTAATTAATATCATCACATCTCTCTTTGTACATAGGCTACATATTCTTTTAATTGTTTGGTCTTCTTAGGAGTCTCTGACTTCTTCGAGAAGTGTCGTGGTTTAGTTGATCAGGTAGGCCTACACAAGGGATTGTATTAGGCTGTTCAGTATATAGGCCTACACTTTCTTCTAATGGCAATAGTGTTAGATGCCATCGATTTCTTCTAAGCCGTCTCCCATTATTTAGTGTTACCCAATATGATCGGGGATAAATGTATCACTTTGATTAGATTTCTCCGTTACATTTCAGGTCTCTAATCCAGACCTTATCTTTAGACGGCAGGTTTGCTGCGGCGGGGATATTTCCAGAGGGTTTAGTTCATTTATTTGCTCGTCTCCTGCTGTCAAAATTCCTCTTCATTCTCTCTTTTATGTGTTGCCGTTTTCTCAAAACCCTACCATATCATTAGTATTGGATTTTTCAAAATCTTTCAATGATGGAAGATTTGAACAAAATTTTCTCCCACAAAGCAACTCTGCTGGAGACAGTCCCTTTTCTATCTTTGTTGTCAGGTAAAAACTAATAACCCTATATTTGGATCTTTATTGTTCAACAATACCGTATTCTTTTGGCTACTGACACTGTGTTCTCAGCACCTTCGTTTGCCTAAGGAAAGTAAGGACTAGTGGTTCTTGCAAAATCCTTGAACTCTTGTGATGTGAATGGAGTTCCACCATCAGTCCGAATCTTAGGCCTATAGGCCTATAGAATTCCATATCTTGCAAAAATATTCCTTAACTTTCCCATAGCCAAATTGGAGGACAGACTGAGTTCAAATAACTCAATACATCTTGAAAATAGTCTTGAACCACCAAGTACCACTTTCTATTACACATATAGTCCTAGCAAATTTGCAATGTCCCTGGACGCCAGGTCAGTTCCCCTCACACGCACGCACACTCACCCTCACGAGCAGAGAGGATTAGGACGACCCTAGCAACCCTAGACCGGCCGTACTTTCGCTTCATTAGTTCTTTTAGATACCACTTGTTTCAATCAAAATGTAACTTATTAAAGTTGTTATTTTAAATAGAAACGGTTAATACATTTAAATTCCCCTGAAAATTACAATAAAAATGATACTGAATAACCCATGATTTACTTAAATATTCCTTCAAATAACATAACTGCAATATATTTCAGGTTTTATAAAGGCTACATTGTGTTTGATATCAATTTTCTCGTGTTGATGAGCAGAATTGATTACTGCTAACTATTTTAAGTTCAATATTTAGGCTAAGTTAAGAAATTTTACATTGGATAAAGGAAATGCCACTTATGACTAATTAACGGAGCGCGGGACAGAAAACTCCAGAATGTGGCCGGTCCTAATACCCTGTCCTTGTGTGTGTGAGGACTGAGTGTGAGTGTGTGAGCCTACCTGGCCTTCTGGGACACTCCCAAATTGCTAAAGGTATAAATAGATCTGCGGAAAGATAAATCTAAGGACCTTTTGGAAGATCTGTGGGCATCAAAGGCTCTTTGTTCACTTGATGGTGTTCAAGACACAGTTTTCTACTTCAGACTTCTCATCTCTCAATCAACCTTTTCCAGAGCTTCGAGATAAACAATCTGCCGTGAAGTTTTCTTTCCCAGGTAGATAAGTTGCCTTATAATCGAACACTAAAAGTCTTTTGATTTCCCAACACATACATTGAAAACTTGTCACATGCCCAAGTCACAAAAATGCTTCCTTTTCTATTTGTGCATAGCAAGTTTCAACATCATTCAAACTTCTGGAAAATGTAGTAAGAGATAGAGCTACCGGTAGCGACATATCAATTGCAATTAGCCAAGAGGAAGTAGGAGCCGTTAGCAATAAAGTAGACTCTTTCAGAAACAAGTTGTAATAAATGTTGCCTATTTCATAAGTATAGGGAGTGCCCGGTGTATGAAGTTTAGAGTCTTAGTTGTGGTGTCAAGGGACATTTTGTCAGGTGTTGTACAAAACAAGGACAGAAAACAATACGGGAAGTTGAGGACAACAAGGAAAACGAAACTTCAAATTTTCTCTAGGTGAAATTCTAGTTATGAAATATGGCAAAGAATGTCCTGTAGTGGAAATAGAAATCAATGAACAAATTAGGAACAGTATTTTATCTAATCATTTCAACAACTCATCTAAAAACAAAATGTAATAATAATAATAAATAATCAGTTCATCACATATGGTTAATAACACCACAAGGACATATCTCTGAGCCCTTGGACATTTAAATAGAGACTTGTTCTTGTTACCTTGCTTAAGTTTATAAAAACCCTATGTAGCCTATATATAATGGAATTTTAAAGATATTCCAGTTCTCTCATTAACTTGTATTGTTGTTTTGCCAGATTGAGTGTGAGAGCGATTCTCTATGTGAGCCAGTGTATAGAGAAGGTTCCCAGTTTGGCAACAACGTCCGGATGGTCTTAGTCCGTCCTGTCATCGGTGGAAGTTGGGGGGACATCACCGATGTTATGGCTCCTGTTGATTATAACCGGTGAGTAATGTATTAACAGTGTGTGAATAAAAGTGTATTAATTTGATCTCCGATGGTCCAGCACTTTCAATAATCCAAAATTGGTCTGAGAGGCTAATGGTCTATTTTTTAAATGCTGTTTTAAGTCATACCATGTTCATCAGAGTTTGGAGCAATTGACAAAAAGAGAAAGCACAATAAAATGTTGAATTGCGGGCTGTGGCCCCGGCTAACAGTTTCCCTTTGCCACTCTAAAATTATCCATATTTCCATTAATTTTGCAATGACAGCTGTTTTTAGAAGATGATCAATAATAGGGTGTTTTAGCGAATTTCCCATATAGGGAATAAGCTACCGTAGGTCTCATGGTAAGACCTGGACCCAGGACCGATTTAGCCTACTTTTTTGTTTTTAGGTCGCCAGAGGCCAAAAACACCATCCGTTCAAATGAATATAGCCTACATGTACACAGTCTAACCTTGGAACCTCGATATAACGAATTCCTTGATATAACAAATTTGTATAAATCCCCTGGAACTTTCCATAAGACACAATGTATATTTTACCTCTACATAACGAACAAACCATAACAATGACCTTGATTTAACGATATTTTCATGATTCCGGCTAAAATAAGACACCTCAATATAACGAATTTATCATTGTCAGAACCTCTACATATAGAATTTAAAGTCTACTTAACGAATTGTCTACGTCTTTCCCTCGATATAACAACCCCCCCCATTTTTGTTTTTGAAAAATCTGTTTCTTCATCAAATGAAATGGAAAGGTAATGCCATCGCTTGCGCTAACATTTGTCTGCTCCGTTTTACACATCTCTGTCTGCTGTCGCTGCGCGCTATGTTACATACTGAGGACTGATTTCATTGGGGTGAAAAGTAACTATGGTGAATTGTACAATTTTTGGATGAAGAGAAACCTAAGAATGAATAGAAAAACAAAAGCTAAGAGAAAGAATAGCTACATAGTTATCTTAACATTCCTTTTACGAGTGTTTCTTTAAGTTGGCTATGATTATACACTTTTATAATGACTTATCTAATATTTTTATTGTTTTGATTTTCTGTTCATATATTTCGTTGTTATTTTATCACCAGTATGGCAACCCATAAGGCTCATGTTAATTTTCAAATTCATGTTTTGTGTTTATTGTTCAGCCTAGCGCTATTTTAATTTATAAAGGGATTCTGCACATCTACAGGAAAATATCTTTCTAAAAGTAGGCTATGTGTAGATTTTCCCTGCAATGGACTTGAGCTGAAAAAAAAGTTTTTCAAGAAACATGCTTGCCTTACATATAGGACTAGCTGGCCCGACAGACGTCGTCCTGTCCTAATGTGGTTTTATGTCAAATGCTCGTTCATTTTCAAGATGAGCTTGTTCGCATGGCTCAATCACGTCCTGGTTGAAGTTTGTTCGCTACGCTCACTCACCTTAAGGTTGGAGCTTGTTCGCTGCGCTCACTTGCCTTCCGGTTAGCTATTTCGCTACGCTAACTCGCCTCCAGGTTGAAGTTCGTTCGCTACGCTCACTCACCTTTTGGTTGCAAATAAGCTGTTGTCATCAATAAAAAAATAATAATAGTGCTGCGCCCTGTTGGTAAACCTATTAACTTTTTAATGCTCTTGAACATCACAGAATCAACTTGTTTAGTTGAACCAGCTGTTAAGATTCTTTAATTCCATTTAAATATGAGTACTCAATGTTAACATGGGAAACTCCAGAGCCACTGGGGCGCAGCCCTTTTGATGGATCTGCACCAAACTTCACACAAACCATCCTTGAATAATGCTAAATAATGCCTCAAAGTTTCATTACAATCTGTCGAGAGGTTTCGTAGTCCATAAAGGACAAACAAACAAACATACAATGGATTTTATATTATATAGAAGATTAGGCCTACCTTTGTTTTTGTTGCTTGTGTTGTTGAGTAGGTACCCTAATATGTTTGTGTTACCCTAGATACATTTAATTGCCAGCTTGTGTGGTATATTCAGGGGTTTTCTTCATTTATCTTCTTGTCACTAACACCATAGTCTATATGGACAAAAATATTTATATGGGGACTCTGCTGCGTGTTTGTTGTGGGGTTGTCCGATCAACCCGATGTACAATACACAATACTACTCACCTCGTATGTGTAAATATTTACGATAACCTTAGAATTGGTTAAACAAGTTACTCTGTAGGTAACTATAATATTTTTTTAATGATTTAAAAATTTAGCGTTTTTTCCCACATTTAATTTTTTTGTGAGATTTTTGAGAGGGAATGGAGACTTTAAATTCCTACAGAAGTGAATATACTTTTTCACAAACACCTTTTGTCTAACAATACTCAATACATGTATTACTTTTAATATGTGGTTTTTTCAGAGACAAGTTGTGGTTCGGCACCAATCTACAAGACTTAGATATGGCCGAGAGCAACGTCAACGCAGACAAAGTGTGTGTGATGGATTGTCCGGAACACGAGCACTGCAGTGTGGCCACGACTGAGTGTGTTTGTGACGTGGGATACCTGCGCAACAGACAGGGCGACTGTATATCTGCTGGTCAGTTTTATGTAGCCTACTAGAGTCTGCTAATGTAAAATTGGTTCATCCTTGCTAAAACAATTTTTATAGGTAGCTGATTGGTTATAGCATTGACTATTGGACTACCTTATTCTTTTGTTGCTGACATAGTTAATGGTAAGGAAGTAGGTTTGCAAATAAATAAGTTATGGGTGAAAAACAGATTTTGTACATTTAGCATTAGCTAAGAATGCATAGCCTAACCATGAATCTGGCGGATAATATACATCAATATCACTACCTACTTCTTCAGGATCATCAACCAGCCCTTCAAAATCACTTAAATCTTCTTATAATGCACCACGTATATCACTACTTTTTATTTTTAACACTAAAAACAATGATAAACGTAAAACACATAAAACACATCAGTCATCGGTGCGAGGTTAACCAAGTTGTTTACAAATACGCACGCCATCTGTCTGCTACAATATTTTCGGAACTAAAATGAAAAGCCTCTAGAAACAGACATCAGGAGAAAGTTAAGAATCTGCTGAAAACAACGATACTGATCTCGATCCAGTTCAATCTGATTCAGTCAGTCCCAGAGCCTTCGCCGTAAACGATGTTTGTGTGTCGCAAAAGCGATGGCGGGTGTGTTGTGCGTCGATTACGCGACGCTTAACACTCGGAGGGCTATAAGTTTGCAAACAAATTGTTATGCAACTATAAAATTTAGGCTTGAGTATGCATAACAGGTAGCCTCCTACTGGTTGTCTTACAGTACCTACCTAACTTTAAAGCATAGATTTTTAAAATAAAAATATTCTAATTTCCAGTATAAGTTGTCTGTTAATTTTATTAATACACCTTAGGTCTAATTTAAATTTTTTTTAGGAAACATGACAGCTGTATCTGCCTTGCTGTTATCACCTTCAAGGGAATCTACGGAATCTCCTTCCTCTTCTAAGGTATGCTGAAAGAAGGGTATAAATAGTTTTAAGGGTTATTAGGTACCAAAGTATAAATTAAGTAAAATTTCCTTGGTTTTTGTCATCACTTTGTATTGCAATAATGTTATAAAAAGTGTTCTACTTTATGTAACAAATATTTCTTTCACTGTCCAAAATCATACTCAACATGTTTTTTACCCTCCCTTAATTCTGTCTCTAAATTAAAAATTTAATTGTGAAAATTATTTACCCAAACTTAGTCAAGTGCTAAATAATTCAATAACTGAGGTCTACATTATATTTAGTGACCTAAATACTTCACATAATTTTAGTAAATAATAACTGAACTGTGTTGACAAATATTTTTATTGCCGTTTTTAGTACGACTCAAAAAACCTTGTTAAAGAATCAATGTCATCCCTTTAACAATTTAAACCACACTCACCGTTTCACAATCACACTTACTGTTTGTTTAGTCAGTTTTAAAAGCTTCTCTGAGTAATCACAAAAGTGTTGTTATCTGTATTAAGTGTCAGCTGATAACAGGTTGTGATGTTGCTTACAGCTGTCTGTGTTTTGTTGTGTCTCCAGGTGTCTGATGGAATTGATTCCAGTTCCAAAGTTCCTGTCCAAACGCTCCATGTTTCGGTGTTGTCCAAAGTTGTTCGGTTGCCTGAAAACGGAGCAGCGTTGTCTGCATACACCATCCCAGCACAGTTATCTGGTTGGTGTTTTGTTTTGTGGATTGGGGCGCTGAAATTGTGTGTTCTTGTGTTCATGTTATAGTAAATAGGAGTTTATGGAGGGATTTCTTAATATGGATATCCTCCTTACCTAACAGAGTTTTATTCTAAATTGGATAGATATTTAAAATGTTTAAAAAGTCATTTGACTGGTAAACAATTTTTAGTTCATCTGTCTTACCTGTGGAAATTTCAGACCAGAGGCTAAAAAATTTATGATAAAATAACACAAAACTTACAACTGATATTTTGTCCTAATGTAGGACTTCTTTAGAGACCCAATTATAAATGTCAATACTCTCAGACCTAAGGACTTTATGACAAAAGGCACACGCTAACAACTAGACTTACCAGGTCTAACCTAGATTGTTAATAACTTCTAAGGGTGTTTGGTTTTCTTAACACAGTACAAAAGGCACTCATGTTTACTTGTCAAACAGCAATAAATAAAAATAATGTATGTTGTGATTTCCCTACTTTAGATTTCCCACTGCTAACTATATTAATAATATAATTTTGAAAATAACAGTTAATTGGGTTAAGTCTTTCTAACAAGTTAAAAAGGTCAACATTAATTATATAATCTGTGTTTGAATTATTCACTCGAAACCCTTTACAGAATACCATTAGAGTAAATATAACCGTAATCAGCTAAGTGAAATAAGTGCATGAACAAAATTATATACAGTGCAAAATACACAAGTAAAAATTAACATGGATTTTTTTACTTTTTAAAATAAATCATTAACTGTTTATTTATTTATCTACTATCACTGTTGATGTAGTTGTATCAATTATTGTGGAAACCTTGCTTCATATAGGCCAACTGATTTTTTACCTCAAAACCAATACAATTTTTGATTTACAGTCAGAAATGTTAGATTATTGTTACAACTCAAATACATATTTTAGTTGTTAACCCATTTTGAAGGGGGTTTCATTCAGTTTCCCATGCTGCAGGCTTTCAGATGTCTTATCTGGAATTACTTATCTGTTTCCTACTCCTATCTCTGTGGCCCTGACCTATAAAACATCATTTGCAAGTCTTACAAAAATTCACCAAGTTTTAATTTCCAGATGGAGGAAAGTACAACTACGAATGGACCTTAATTTCCCAACCAGAGGGAAGTAGCAAGGGCACGATGACAGGTAATAAAACACCTTCCTGCAGTCAATAACTTTGAAAAACTTTTTACATTATAAAAAAAGTTGTATATTTTTACTAATTTTATTATAAAGTCATTGGTCATGTCAGTATTTTCTTCACAGTATGTGGTGTAAATTGTGAACTTATATTTACTTAAAGCAACAAAACTAATTACATGACAACAGTAAAATAATTAGTCTTAATCTTGTACGCCAGTGGCGGATTTACCATAAGGCACACTAGGCACGTGCCTATGGGCGCCTGCCGTTGAGGGGTGCCCGGCCGCGGCATGTGGCGGGTGACGGGCGATGGGTGGCGCGGCGGTGGGCGCGTGGTGGTTAGGCTGCGGCGCTGCATCCACACGGGTGTTTTTTCCACGCAAAAATATAGCTTGAAAACATGCGAAAAATTAAAGTGGCATTGAAACAAATAGGTGCCCGGGTGTGTGGCATTCCCCATATCTATATATTTAATACGCGACATGAAACTTTGTGAACAATAAGGCTTTTTTGTTTTTTTAAGATTTAACCCCACATATTATATACCAAAATGTTCGTCTATGGGTGTAGAGGTGCAAACTGGCTTTAGATTTTCGAAATGTATCTTTTGAAGGGCGTGGGCTGCACTCAAAGTTCCCTCCATAAGGATAACATTGTGATTGATTTGAATGTTATTATATTCTGAAACAGATGTCAATACATTAGTAAAAGAAATCCCAGCTGTTTTGTTTGGTTTTGAAATGTAAACAGTTAGCATGTTTTTAAAAAATAATTAGAAAACTGGCAAAGAAATGTTACCTATAGGACACGACGGGAGAAAAGTTTTACATTTTATTTTAGTTTAAACATGCCAAGTACCCGACGACAAAGAAATATTGCCGGTCGGACACGGCGAGTCAACATACGGCAAGCGATGCAAAACGTAATGAGCCCAGACGAGGAGCTGGAACAGTTAGTGGCAACGTGTACTTACAAATGACAAATACAAGAACTCAGCAGCATTCACTCGGCGAGATGGCATTAAAATGTCAGAAATGTGGTGTGCTACATTTTAAAGAAGAACAAAGAGGACGAGGCGAAGGATTTTCATCCTGCTGCAATAAAGGAAAAGTGAATCTATCACCATACCAAGAAAGCTATTATATCCAGAGCCTACCAAATGGAGCAAATCATTTGATCAGAAACTACAAAGAGAACATTAGATCGTACAACTCTGCGCTCGCAATGGTCAGCACTCGAGCTAAAATTGAAGAAGATAACGGTGGAGGGCCTTTCATGTATAAGGTGAATGACACAATTCATCACTCTATTGGCACCTTACAACTGTCAGAAGGGGAGCATCCCACATATGCCCAAATTTATATCTACGACGTCAAAACCTCTGTTCAAGAAAGAATGCTAAACAAAGCTAATGGCTCTTGCAGCACTGAACTCATGCACATTTTGACTAAACATTTGGTTGATATTAATCCATTCGCGCAATTTTGCAGCATGATAAGCTCCGTCCTGCAAAATACTCCTACTTAACAGCAAAAAGAACTTAGAATGTATATAGCCAACGATCGAGCTCAAGACCAACGTTGATACAACGACATAACTTCTACTTTGCTACAATATATCATAATTTATTCGTGCGATTCACCAACATTACATATTTACTCATTCATATTTACTCATGTTGACGCTGCGTTTGTGTGTGAAAAAACGCCCGTGTGTGTGGCCGTTGCCTTAGCGGTGAAGATGACTTTAGTTCATGTCGCGAAGTGCAGACATACGACTACGAGTAGGGAGCACTGTCAGTGTGTCATTTCTAGTACCTGTGTTGTATTTCTAGTGGCAGTTATATTACAAGTAAAATTATTGTTGGCTGTTTTGAATGTTACATTTAAAATCTTTCAGTTTCAGTACAGTGAATTTTGTTGTCAACCGCCTGCAAAAATGTTGGTTAGTAAATAAGGCAATTAAGTCATTGCTCAAAATTTCGCCCATTTTATTAATTCTTGAATAAAGTAGGCTACTCATACTTTAAAGACAATATAAAATAGGCATATTTATTACTTTTTCGTAATGATACAGTGGACGTGTTAAAAACAGTCATAAATTATTTTTGTTGTGGCAGAACAATATAATATATGTTTATTTAATCTAAAATCTGAAATGTATTAATATCAGGTACAATATATTTTATTTAGGTGAAAAAAACTAAATTTTTTTGGAACCGCTTTTGATTATTTTCCTTTTTTGTCATTTTAATTTCGTAAATATGCATGTAGACATTAATAATAACTAGTGGTCATCCAGTGGTCGAAAACTCGACCAAAAAGATGTAACGTACACGTATTGAATATTGGATACTGAGGTAGACTTCCCATCTATATGAACCAGCTGTCACCATTTTTTTTTTATTAAAAAACATGTAGTTATGTGAGCAATTTACCGAAAGTCTGAAATGTATTAATAACAGGTACAATATATTTTATTTAGGTGAAAAAAACTAAATTTTTTTGGAACCGCTTTTGATTATTTTCCTTTTTTGTCATTTTAATTTCGTAAATATGCATGTAGACATTAATAATAACTAGTGGTCATCCAGTGGTTGAAAACTCGACCAAAAAGATGTAACGTACACGTATTGAATATTGGATACTGAGGTAGACTTCCCATCTATATGAACCAGCTGTCACCATTTTTTTTATTAAAAAACATGTAAGTTGTGTGAGCCATTTCCTGAAAGCGTGTCTTAAATTCTATTTTCTACCTCATTGTTGCTGACAAAGTTAATGGGTCATAACAGTTGCTATATCTCATTCAAACAGTTTGACTTGGTAAAAACTATTGTGTATTCGACAGAAATTTAATCATTTAGACCAGCGCAGTCTGTTGGTGGCTCACATCAACTACGACGAATTTAATTTAAAAAACTGGTGACAACTTAACATGGGGATGGAATGTAAAGGTTCAGGCTTCTCTATTTTCACCCCACACTGTAAATAAAACATGTGATTGGAATTTCTTCCATTTGTTTTGATTTTCTGTTTATATTTCATTGTTATTTCGTCACCAGCATAGCAACCCATAAAGCCCATGTTAAATTTTTAAAATTTCAAATTCATTTTATGTGCTTATATTTGAGCCTATTTTAATTTTCAAAGGGATTCTGCACTTCTACAGGAAAATATCTTTCTAAAGGTATGTGTAGATTTTCCCTGCGATGCACACGAGCTGAGAAAAAAGGTTTTAAAGAAACATGCTTGCCTATTGCCTATTGCCTATATAGATAGATTAGTGAAAACGAAATAAAGTTAAGTGGGGCAGATTCCACAAACTATCAAAGGAAACGCATGAGAGAGAGACTTCCTTTCCATTTTCACAAAACACAAAGGGGCGGCCGGCCGAACGGGCCTAGGGGCGGTGCCGCAGGTAAATCCACCACTGTTGTACGCCTTTGATTGGTGAAAAATACAATCAAAGGCGTATTCATAAAGTTATAGTAAAGCATGTTTGGATTCAACTCAGTCAAACTTTTTCACATAGCTTTGAAGAGTAACTCTGTTAATCAGGATTTTGATCTAATGTTGTCAAATGTAAATGTTTTCAGATAAGAACGGGGAAACACTGAAGCTAAGTAACCTAAGCGAAGGAGTTTATGAGTTCAAGGTGGCTGTATCGGGTCCTGGAGTTTACGGAGAAGCTTTCGCTAACGTCACTGTCATGCCTCGTAAGTATTGTTTGCCTGTTACTTTATGTAGTGTGTTAGTAAAATTTTGAAAAAAAAAATCTTCAAATACTAGACTGTTGAGTATGTCTCCAAACAAACAGGATTTGAATGTTTTCACAATCTTTCCTTTTGAAGAACTTTAATAAACTGTAGGCTAATTAGTTTTATTTTCGACCTCCTTAATAAAGGAAATAAACAAAAACCATGATTTTCACTTCCTTATAATCTCAAAATGAAATCTAACTTGGGTATAGAAATGCTTAATCCTTAATGCTTGATATAGTTTAAAGTTTAAACCTTATAAGTAGTATGACTTATACTGCAGTATGCACTTTTGAGAAAGAAGGAACATTTCCTTCACCAAGCAAAAAATGGTGATTTAAAAATGTTAATTAAACAAAAAATTATCTGGGTAAGTGTAAATTGATATCAGTGTTGTTTATATAATTGTTAAACACAGGCTCAGGTTATTTAAACCTTATTTGCATATTTTGTCAAACCAAACCTCAATCAATCGTTCACCGTACTCAACATAAAATTTTTGCCTAAATTAATTTTTAATATAACAATCTATAATTCACTTGTTTGTAGAAGGTTTATGTATTGTGGTTTTTTAAAATAGGCTAATTTTAATCAAAGACTTTAGTTAGTGTTAGACAGACACCCTATACAACATTTTTTTTCCCCTAACAACAATCACTCAGATACATTGCTTCGACTGGTGTAGTCCAAGTAAAATTTCAAATATTCATGTAGAAAAGAAGTAATTATCTTAAGTACTGCTTTGTTTTACCAGCTAAGAGGATCAACAAACCACCAGTGGCCATAGTGAAGCCGGCGTCCAAAACGGTAAAGCTGCCGAACACGGGAGCCGTGCTGGACGGGTCGTCTAGCTACGATGACGCAGCCATCATAGCTTGGCATTGGGAACTACAGAAAGGACCACTCGGCTACCAGCCGACTCTGCAGGACAGTCCTACGCTGGTGCTGAATAATCTCAACATCACTGGCAACTACACCTTCACGTGAGTAGCTATATAAAACATAACAGGTGTAGTTCTGTTTTGTTGCTCAAGGGTCCAGCTGATCGGAAAACTGGGAATTATAAATGTATTTCGATGACTGGGAAAAGTCTGTAAATTTTTTATGAGACTGGGAAATTTGGAATATCTAATAGCCTATGGTTGGAAAATTATTAATTAACAATGTTACGTTGGTATTTTGACTTCTTGATCTTGGAAAATGATAGATGTTGCCATGATTGCTACAATATCACCACATGACCAAAAAAAGCTTATTTGAGAGCTTTCTAATTTATTTAATTCCAACATCATTGCACATTTTTATACAGGAGGAATCAACAGTGTACATAGATCACCAAAAATATGTATGTATAAGCTAAGCTTTAATGTACGTAGAACTACAATATAAAATATATACAATAGAATGAGAAAAACAATCAAAATAACATTTAAACATCTAAGAAGAGCTGATAATTTTAACATTAGTACTAATAAATACACAATAAAACCTTTGTCAAGAATTAACTAACGGTTGTCCATCACGGACATCATGATTGTCAAGACAAGTCGGAAAAACTATTTTCTGGTTTATACTAGAAACTCCTAACAAAAATGTTTGTTTTCCTTTGAAATCTTCTTCTTGTTAACTAATCTATTACTGGAAAACTTAACTATAAACAAATATTGTATTAAGATCATAAACAACTTGTTATACAGTTGTATAAATAAATACAATTTTACACAACCAATTTGTAAATACATATTTATTCTTGGTTTGGTAATACCTTCAGCTTCAACAACACTTTTTAAAACTGTTAAAATCCATTTAACATTTTATTAGTCACCTGAGCACACAACGATAAACATAAAATCCAAACATTTTAATTTGATAATAATAGGCTTGAAGACATTTCTAATATGCCCAACACTTAAATAATTTCATCTGCTTATTATGACTTTAATATAATAAAATAATAAATAGATCCCTGTAAAAGTATAAAGAGTTCATATATTTAATGTTAAAACGTAAAACTATTAACATTTTGACTTCCAACTTTGTTTAAATTTGTTTAGAGACTAAAATTGTAACTAAAATCAGTGTTATTTATTGTATCTTTTGCCAACCCGTAAGAAATATTGAATTATTTTATGATTTGGATACTTTTAATCAAATATAATGTTTTCACTAGTATTTCTCAAGAAAATAAAACTGAATAAGATAATTACATAAATATTTAAGATTTTAATACTCCTACCGTATTTCATGCTCTCATTCTACTCTGTGAAATTCAACTCGTCTCCAAAACCTCATCCTCTCTGGAAATAGATTGGTCTCCATTGACAATTTGTTGGTTTGAATATGGAAAAACGTCGGATCAGAGTTCCCGGACTCGGTCCATGTTATATTCTCGGCAGAGTCGTCTTGAGGGTTACTGCTAACTGGGGTTGGTGTTGGGCTACCATTGGTCGCAAAGTTGGTCCATAGATCCACAATCAGCTCTGATATGTTCAAATCTTCTCCAGTCAATGGTGGAAAAGTACCGTTCTGAGTGAACAACATGAGTAACTCATCGGTGTGAATCGCTCCTCTATGTATTGGCTCTATGTGGTACATTTGTGAGTAAGTGTACCTCCCTACATGGTCGTACAAGTAGTAGTACAACGGACCTTGGTGGTGTGTAATCGCCAACTCTGTCGGCCACGCAAACCAGGTGTCTGTTGTCAATTGTTCCAGAGACATTGCTAAATCTTCCGTCGATTTGGTGTTTTCAAAATAAAACTGATAAGTTTGATTCATTATTTCATCCAAGTTTGAATACAAATCTGCAAATTGGGTCATGAACGGACCAAAGTTTTCAAAGTCGGTTTCGATGTAGTTGATTGTATTGTTCACCCGCTGATCTACCCTCCAAAGTCCTTCTTTAGCGTTCAGACCAACAAGCCACGGTTTGTGAGTGGTGAACGTTTGTGGATGTTTGGTCAAAAAAGCATGTTCGGTGTTTACTTCGACAACCGGGCGGAATAATTTATCAGATTGACCGTATTTGGATTTGAGAAGTTTTAAAAACTGTTGGAGCAAATCATTCGCTGTTTTGTCCTGTAGGCAGTTAAGCATTTCTTCTGAACTGGTACTAAAGCAGTTTAACTTGTCTGCTAGCTTTTCTGTGTCTCTTTTTGCTTTACCTTTTCCAATCAGTGCAAAACTACTTGCAGCTGTTCCACTCTGGCTGATAGCTCTAGAGAACAGTGATTGACTTGTCAGGGACATCATATGGTAATGTACAGAAGCACTGCCCGCGCTGTTACCAAATATTGTCACTTTGTCTTTGTCACCTCCGAATGATTCTACGTTGTCCCGAACCCATTGTAACGCCTTCACTTGGTCTTTCAAACCCATGTTGCCAGGAACCACTGCGTCTTCAGTACTCAAAAAGCCAAATGGTCCGAGTCTATATTGTATGATCACCAGCAAAATATCTTTCTCCATCAGGTATTCTGGGCCTGTCCAGCCTAAAGAGGAAGAACCCATGAAAAATCCTCCACCATGGATAAATACCATAACTGGGAATGAACTGGAGGAGTTTGTGCTGTGAGTGAACACATTTAGATAAAGACAATCTTCAGAACCACCCGGTTCTTTTTGCAAACATTTGTCACTTTCTTCTGTGCAATCTTTTACACCTTCCCAAGATGTCGGGGAGAGAGGAGGCATAAAACGTAGTTTTCCAATTGGAGGAGCTGCATAAGGTATTCCCAAAAAGGCACAGAATTCTCTTCCATTCCGAGATGTCATAGGTTTTCCTCTTACTAACCCATATTGAGTCGTTGTTGTGCACCTATCACTGGAAGCTGCCAGCTGGAAAATCCTCGCTGCAAAAACCGCACTCAAAATAACAGTCACTTTCATTTCAAATGTAGGCATTGGGGACGGTGATAAATTATGTACGTTTACTATTTGATATTTTTTTGTTAATGTCTTTAGATTTACTAACTCTCTACCATTGTATTCATTCACAAACACTAGTACACAGAATGGTACACTTACAACTCAAGCCTAGTGTAACATCTGTCAATCTCAGTGTTTTATGATAATGGAGTGATAATTAAGGGGTCATAGTATTGTTTAGCTTTACTTTACTGACTCGGCTGGTTTGATGTTTTGAATGCAGTTCTATCTTTGTGAGTTTATACATAGTTGATTGAGAATTCAAACTTATTGTGAAGTTTACAAACACTTGAATTTGATTGAATTTCTACCTATAATAATACTTTATTTATTGGTAGCCTGTCTAGGACAATTTAGTATCTTTAGTATTTAATTTACTAAGTGTATTAATTTAATTCCCATTTTTTTCTGCTGCTTGGATGAAATTGGCTACTCAATTGAACACTCAGATAATGTTAATTATACTTTAGAAACTTTTATTTTACAATTTCGAGGATATCCCAGCTTCATTTTAATACAATTGGAATTAAACACCGAATTCCATTATCATGTATAATCTCAATTGGACGCTAAAATACTGAATCATATGTGACTCTTGTCCGAGTGTGAAATGAACATTTGATACATTTTTCTACTACATTGGCCATTATAAGACTTGAGAAATTAAAAACCGTATGTCAAATTGGATGTTAGGAATGGATTTATTGATTCTTATAATAGTTTTTATGACACATCAGTTGGAATGCACACAAGTAGATACAAATACTCTATGTGAAACTTGGACAGATAATGGCGGATTTGGGGGTAAAGTGATGGTGTCACGGAGTGGAAAACAGTTTTGTGCATTTTTAGGAATTCCGTACGCAGCTGCACCAGTCGGAAAACTAAGATTCTTTCCTCCAGAACCAGTCCAAGCATGGGAAGGTGTTAGGAACTCAGAGGAAAGCGATGAATGTATACAAACCATCGGAAGAGGTTCTGAAGATTGCTTGTATTTGAACGTTTTCACTCAAAACTTAACTCAGGATGCAAGGACTGTAATGGTGTACATCCACGGCGGTGGTTTTAGAATTGGTTCGTCATCTACAAAAGTTCTTGGACCTCATTACTTAATGGATAAAGACATTGTGTTGGTGACGATACAATATAGACTCGGACCACTAGGATTTCTAAGCACTGAAGATGAAGTTATCCCTGGTAACATGGGGATGAAAGACCAAGTGAAAGCTTTGCAGTGGATACAAAAAAACATCAAATATTTCGGTGGCGACGAGGGAAAAGTGACATTATTCGGCAATAGTGCTGGAGGTGCTTCGGTTCATCTTCACATGCTTTCCCCCATCAGTAGAGATCTGTTCGCTAAAGGCATATCTCAAAGTGGAACAGCACTAAGTGGATTCGCACTAGCTACTAAAGGTGTTAACAAAAACATTACTAATATCATTGCCTCGAAATTGAACTGCTCAAGCTTGAACTCAAGTGAAATTATCTCTTGTTTACAAAATAAAACTGTAGACGAGATAACAACTGCTCACGCTGAGATAGTACAAACTAGAACCAACAGAATTTTACTCAGACCTGTTGTTGAAGTGGAATCTGAACATGCTTTTTTGACGTCTCACCCTTTAGAATATGTTACAAACAAACCATGGATGGTCGGGGTGGTTGCAAATGAAGGAATAATTTTTATACCAAAAGCTAGATTGAATTCCCTTTTACATCTTGTCAATTCAAGTTTTCGTACTGTAGGACCTGAGTTGATGTTCTTACATAACTGCAAAAACTTAGAGGAAGTAAGTAAAATCTATGATTTTTACATGAGGAATGTTACGTCAACAAATGACGCAATAAAGTCTCTCGAAAAGTTAATTGCAGATTCATGGTTCATTTGGCCGACAGAGCGTGCGGTTTCAAAGTACAACGGAACGTTTTACTTCTACTTGTACGACCATTTGGGTGAACATTCAATGGTGGAGTATTACGGTTCACCTCAAGGATTCGGTGTTGCACACACCGATGAGCTTATTTCACTCTTTTCCAACGATGTTTTCCCTCC